GAGGCTAGAACGGGGGATTCTTAGAATCTAGTTGATAGTTTGTACAGTAAACATTTTCAGCTTTTTTGTGCGACTGAGGTAAAGACTGTGGACTTGAAGCTGAATAAGCAAATTCAACAATAACTTTGTCAGCAAGGGTTTGCTAGACCAAAGTGGACTCTTTGAAAGGTTCTGCAGGTATTGTGTGTTTCCTTCACGCTGAGTTCAAGCTCTTTTTATGCTTTTCATGTTTTTTTCTTTTTTCTTTTATCTGAATATATGTTATTTTTGGCAGTGACGTCTTACTTTTTGGACTCATTGTGGACCCATGTCTTAGTTGATTGAATTTGTCACCGTAAAATGTATTTATAGTGGAGCCATCTATCTATAATAGTAGATAGTTATGTCTCAATTGCTCAAATAAATGCTTTTGTGGGTTTGCATAATCTTGCATTGACTTTTGCAATTGCTTTGGATCCAGTATATTTCAGGAAGGGTAATCTTTTTGGTGTTCCCAGAGCACACATTTTATAGCTTGATTCTAACTTGATATGTGCAAATATCTACAATTATGAATCTCACAATTAACAAAAGGAGCATGTACTAGACCTGTAGCTCAATTGGTAGAGCATGGCGCTTGTAACGCCAGGGTAGTGGGTTCGATCCCCTGGGACCACCCATACGTAAAAATGTATGCACACATGACTGTAAGTCGCTTTGGATAAAAGCGTCTGCTAAAATGGCATATAACCTAGGGCCACCAATGTTTTGTCAGGCCGTCATGTAAAAACCAAGCCCATGGCTACAATGGCTTACCTCCAGAGACAAAACAGGAATTCACAAAAGCCTGTGAATTTCCCAATACACTGAAGGATTTGTCAAAGTAGATTTGCTGAAAGGTGTCATGGGGGGGGGGGTGGATTCTTAATGTACTGTAACCAGTGGACGAATATTGATTAAATTGCCTGTCGCTAAATTCTAAAGCATGTTCATGGTTTGTTGGGTAAAATTTGTTGCTAATTTGTAACTCCTTTTGACAATCATTTCTAATGACTTACAGGGGTTCATAGTTCTAGACAGTAAAACAAAATGGAGTCTGTCAGCTTTTGAAAAGGCTCCAGATTTTCAGCGACCCAATTTGACCCCCACCCCCTCACCTCGTCTGTCTTCAAACGGCTGTCTAGTTAAAGTTCGAGGAATCTGCCACCTCCTGTCCTTTTGTCCCCCCGACCCCCCACTGCCATCAGGACAAGTGACTGGACTCACTTCCAGCTTTTGTTCTTTGAAAGGGCCCAGGAGTTGAGGGAAGGAGCCAATGAGAGAGCGAGGGGAGGGGGGGCAGTTAGCAGACAATTTGCAGACAGTTTGTGTATGATCCAGTGGGTTTTTTTCAGTGTGAATGTGCTAGCGGGTCATTACTGTGGGGCAATTCCATGGTAACGGAATTATGCTGAGACTCTAAAATGTATATCAAACAAAATACATTGATTGAAAAGTTTCACAAACCACACAACTCTATGCACGAGGACTACTTTGAACAATTTACACAGAAAATTATGCGTTGTATGGTTTGCTAAACTTTGAAATCAATGGTTTTTGTTTGGCATACAGTACATAGCTCAGTTGGTAGAGCATGGCGCTTGCAACGCCAGGGTTGAGGGTTCGATTCCCACGGGGGGGGCCAGTATGAAAATGTATGCACTCACTAACTCTAAGTCGCTCTGGATAAGAGCGTCTGCTAAATGACTAAAATGTAAATTGGAGACTCAGCGTAATTCCGTCACTGTGGAATTACCCTGTGGTTGAAGGTGTGAAGTGTGTCACCTCCTTCTCATAATAATAATAATAATATGCCATTTAGCAGACGCTTTTATCCAAAGCGACTTACAGTCATGCGTGCATACATTTTTTGTGTATGGGTGGTCCCGGGGATCACCGATACACACAGGTCTATGTCAACAGTTTATTATTTTAGATCACACAATGAATGATGGAAATGGGGTATTCTGGCAATGGGCTACAGTTTGCAAGGTGTTTGGTGTGTAAGTTGTTGAGGAATTGTTAAAGGTACCTCAAATCAAATGTTATTGGTCACACATGTACTCCTGAGTGGCGCAGTGGTCTAAGGCACTGCATCGCAGTGCTAACTGTGCCACTAGATCCTGGTTCGAATCCAGGCTCTGTCGCAGCCGGCCGCGACCGGGAGACTCATGGGCGGCGCACAATTGGCCCAGTGTCGTCCAGGGTAGGGGAGGGAATGGCCGGCAGGGATGTAGCTCAGTTGATAGAGCATGGCGTTTGCAACGCCAGGGTTGTGGGTTTGATTCCCACAGGGGGCCAGTATAAAAAAAATATGTATTCACTAACTGTAAGTCGCTCTGGATAAGAGCGTCTGCTAAATGACTAAAATGTAAATGTAAATGTACATACACATATTTAGCAGATGTTATTGCGGGTGTAGCGAAATGTAGTCTCCCGAGTGGCGCAGTGGTCTAAGGCACTGCATCGCAGTGCTAGCTGTGCCACTAGAGATCCTGGTTCATATCCAGGCTCTGTCGTAGCCGGCCGCGACCGGGAGACCCATGGGGCGGTGCACAATTGGCCCAGCGTCGTCCAGGGTATGGGGAGGGAATGGCCGGCAGGGATGTAGCTCAGTTGGTAGAGCATGGCGTTTGCAATGCCAGAGTTGTGGGTTTGATTATCACGGGGGGCCAGTATAAGAAAAAACAATATATGCACTCACTAACTGTAAGTCGCTCTGGATAAGAGCGTCTGCTAAATGACTAAAATGTAAATGCTTGATGCTCTACATTTCCTCATTGAAATGATCTACAGCAATCAGAGGTTGGTACCAGGCAGCGTGTGTGTGTGGCTATTTACATCTCATGGCCCCTACTGTAGTTCAGTGTTGGCCGTTTTTCCTTGGACATGTACAGAATTGTCCTGGCCTAGTTGTTGTCAATATTTGCATAGAGACACTTCTCTCCAGCCTCTGAAAAGCTATTCATACCTTTAACTAACTTTATGGGAAAGGGGGAAATATTCACCTACTTTTGTTTGTGTTCCCTTGTGTTCCATTACTGATTCAGACCCAACCTTTTCTGGAATATTTTCATCCAACAAAACATATTTTGGTTGACTGAGGAAGTTAGCTGCCGGTGCCCTTCAGAATCCACAGTTCTGCTAACCCCCCTTGAACAGCCTCACGTTTCCAAAAATTGAACTTTAAAAGACAAAAACAAAAGAGTATCCAAATAATCCTAAACTCCTGTGGCCAAGCGGTTTGTAGAGTTGGTCGCCTGAGTAACTAGCGAGCAAGCACATGCTCCATGACAATGTTTTAATGAGGTTGAAAGCTAATACAGTACTCACGATTATGGAAAATAGTATGATTTGGCAGAAGGAACATCTGACATTTGCTGAATAAGTCTACTAAAATAGACAATTCCATCCACGCACACACACACACACATTCGGAAAGTATTCAGACCCCTTGACTTTTTCCACATTTTGTTACGTTACAGCCTTATTCTAAAATGGATTACTTTTTTTTTTTTATCTCATCAATCTACACACGATACCCCATAATGACAAAGCGAAAACAGGTTTTTAGAAATGGTTGCAAATTCAATAAAAATAAAAAACAGAAAAACCTTCTTTACATAAGTATTCAGACCCTTTGCTCTCAGGTGCATCCTGTTTTCATTGATCATCCTTGAGATGTTTCTACAACTTGATTGGAGTCCACCTGTGGTCAATTCAATTGATTGGACATGATTTGGAAAGGCACACACCTGTCTATATAAGGTCCCACAGTTAACAGTGCATGTCAGAGCAAAAACCAAGCCGAAGGAATTGTCCGTAGAGCTCAGAGACAGGATTGTGTCCCCAAGAACAAAGTGGCCTCCATCATTCTTAAATGGAAGAAGTTTGGAACCACCAAGACTCATCCTAGAGCTGGCCACCCGGTGATCAAGAACCCGATGGTCACTCTGACAGAGCTCCAGATTTCCTCTGTGAAGATGGGATAACCTTCTAGAAGGACAACCATCTCTGCAGCACTCCACCAATCAGGCCTTTATGGTAGAGTGGCCAGACGGAAGCCACTCCTCAGTAAAAGGCACATGACAGCCCGCTTGGAGTTTGCCAAAAGGCACCTAAAGGACTCAGACCATGAGAAACAAGATTCTCTGGTCTGATGAAACCAAGATTGAACTCTTTGGCCTGAATGCCAAGTGTCACTGGAGGAAAGCTGGCACCATCCCTACAGTGAAGCAGGTGATGACAGCATCATGCTGTGGGGATATTTTGTTAGCGGCAAGGACTGGGAGACTAGTCAGGATCGAGGGAAAGATGAACGGAGCAAAGTACAGTGAGATCCTTGAGGAAAACCTGCTCCAGAGCGCTCAGGACCTCCGACTAGGGCGAAGGTTCACCTTCCAACAGGACAACGACCCTAAGCACACAGCCAAGACAACGCAGGAGTGGCTTCGGGACAAGTCTCTGAATGTCCTTTAGTGGCCCAGCCAGAGCCCGGACTTGAACCCGATCGAACATCTCTGGAGAGACCTGAAAATAGCTGGGCAGTGACGCTCCCCATCCAACCTGACAGAGCTTGAGAGGATCTGCAGAGAAGAATGGGAGAAACTCCCCAAATACAGGTGTGCCAAGCTTGTAGTGTCATACCCAAGAAGACTTGAGGCTGTAATCGCAGCCAAAGGTGCTTCAACAAAATACTGAGTAAAGGGTCTGAATACTTATGTAAATGTAATATTTCAGTTTTGTATTTTTTATACATTTGCAAAAATTTCTACTAACCTGTTTTTGCTTTATCATTTTGGGTGTTGTGTGTAGATTGATGAGGAAAACAAAGAATTTAATCAATTTTAGAATAAGGCTGTAATGTAACAAAATGTGGAAAAAGTCAAGGGTTCTGAATACTTTCCAAATGCACTGTATCTAATGTCAGGGTATAGGAGAGAGCTGGTTTGAACAAGTTGTTGTGTTTATTTCCCACAGGATTCAAGCTGAAGGATTTCCTCCACAACAATGAGACCCTGTCCACATTCCTTCTGCGAAACGCCTCCTTCTCGGAACACGCCGTGCACCAGATCATTGAGGCCGATGTGAACTTGGAAAAGGTAAGAGGAAAAATACCACCTTCCCAAAATTCTATGACATTCACATTTTAGTAGATGCACTTATTCAGAGCAACTTACAGGAGCAATTAGGGTTAAGTACCTTTCTCAACAGATTTTTCACCTCTTCGGCTCTGGGATTCGAACCAGCATCCTTTATGTTACTGGCCTAACACTCTTAACCACTAGGCTACCCGCCACCCCTTGAGGAATATTATGAGGCATTTTACTATGATCAGTTCACTCCATCCTGGACACCTTCAAAGGCAGTGTAGTAGTTGTTCAACATTCCCATGGCCCATTGTTTCCCTCCTCCGAGCAGATTAGGTCCCAGGTTGTCCATTTGTTGCAGGTAGCAGCAGATACTGAGCAGGTCAGTAGTGTTTCTTGGTTACATTTGATGGACCTGTGAGTTAATTAAGTCTGTGGCTCTTTATGTCAGTGACATAAACTTCTAGAGAGAGAGAGCAGAGACAGGGGGACATTTATAAAGGTGACAGTCTGTTGTTTGAATGAAAGTCATGTAATGAAGCAGGGACACCCCTCTGTACTGTAACCTGGAGAATGTTCACTACTAGACATCCTCCTCAACTCTGTCTTTGCTCTCGCCTCAAAAACATGAAGATATATTTGTTTTCTTTCACAGTTTTAAAAGCTGCCATCTGGTGTTTCCTATATTCATTTTCTCCCCATTTGAGATATTTTAAAGGCTCAAGATCAGCTGTTATGGTTTCCCGCAGTAGGCCTATGTGGAAATACTCTCAACCAGGGTTTCTCCTTTAGCATAATGGATTACTACAATTTGATACTGATACTGCCCTCACATTTCATACAATCCAGCTGTAACATACAGCAATGGTAATATAGATACGTAAGTAATTCAGATCAGCTCATTTCTCTGCTCCGTGGGATCCACCCGCGAGATAACATGCAAGTGCAAAGTCACATGGCCTCATCCATGTGTCTTAGCTCAGTATTTCTCAACTCTGTTCTTTCAGTACTCCCAAGATGACATGTTTCACCGAAATACTGTCTTCTGCCTGTCCTTGGTCATTGCTACATTACACACTGACCCTTCTCCATCTCCAGGTGCTGGTCAAAGGCTTCGGTGTCCGTCTGAGGGACTTGTGCAGCAGCAACAGCAACGGCATCAGTGTGGAGGACTTTGTGACCATCACAGACAGCGAGGTGTCCAGTCTGGTCCAGAAGGTCCTTTGCAGGTCCCCAGGCTCCTGGCTGAACCAGGCAGAAAGCCACTTCTTCCACAACCTGGACTTCCTCAAACCCATACGGGTAAGCACAAATGGGCACTAGGCACATTATTGTTTTTCTCCATTAAAGACCAAAGCCAGGTGACTTAATCACTGACATGCACAGTGCCGAGAAACAAAGCGTAGGGGGAAAAGCAGAAGATCAGAAAGAAAGGGATAAGCGTAGGTGGAGGCATGTTGTTGCTTATCCATGTCGACCTACCTCTAGTTGTAGCCTGTAGATATGTTTCAAAACTAACTGCCATCAAAGTGAGGATTTGGACCCTCAATCTTAAAATGTTAGTTATTTATGAGTATCACTTCTCTCTGAATCATAGTTTATAAAGGTCACTTCCAATTCCACACCTTAGCACCAGTGCCAGGGAATTCTATCATTAATAGACCATTCATTGATTCCCAAAGGGCAGATAATGCATGATCCCTGGCATCTTTTGTAACGTTTATAGCTTTCAAACAAGGTTCCTAGAAACCAGACAGAGAAGTTAGTGTGATTCCTATCTATTAAAGTGCTGCTGATTGTATCACCTTGTCAGTAAGATACAGTATGACTGCCCACAATGATAAACATTAAAGAGTCATGGGCAACGTGTTCTTCTCTGACCCCTGTCCCCATTTTGACATGCCACAGGGGTCAGTTTCCTTATTCTTATGATAGTTTAATACAAGAAACAGTGTGTTTGTGTCCCTCTTATGGTTCCTGTTTTTGTAGCCTTTAGGGAACAAGACATGGTAAACAAGACCTTAGGACATGCAGGGTGCTATTACATCGGAACAGTTCATTGGGTTTTGTAATCAGTTAAATATTGGGCATAAAAAAACAAAAAAGTATGTTTTTATTGTCACACACTGGATAGGTGCAGTGAAATGTGTTGTTTTACAGGGTCAGCCATAGTAGTACGGCGCCCCTGGAGAAAATTAGGGTTAAGTGCCTTGCTCAAGGGCACATTGACAGATTTATGACATTCTCGGCTTGGGTATTCAAACCAGCAACCAGTAATTGACCGTTAATTAACATAAACACGTTTGGCATCTCCTGGCTTCCACGCATAGCCTACAAGCCACTGATCTGGATAAGAGCGTCTGGATAAGAGCGTCTGCTAAATGACTAAAATGTAAAAAAAATATGCAGACCTTTGGAACATCTACATTTAAAAAAGTCAAATAAATGTAATGTAGCCTACATCATCACAATAAATCCTTATTTATTTTAGACAGGTCTAAAGAAACATGATATGAAGAAAATGTAGCCTATTTCAAAAGAACAGAGTAGCATATTCTGAGTTGTCCTAATGTTAGGCCCTGATCTGGCTATGCCATATGGCTGTGGGCTACACTAGTTAATTTAGCAGACAGGATTTTCTTAGAATTCCGTGCCATTATTTTATATAATTTTATAGTATGAAGTATACAATCGAACAAAGCTGAATAAAATAGAAAGGATATTTTCCCCAAACGATTTCCGAGGGAGTGCCCACGTGGCTATTCTGTGTTGAGCAGTTAACAAAGAAACATGTCCTCCTATATGCTTAATTTAGAGTTATTTATGCAACTTTAGTTGTGATACAAACGTTAGGCTATACGTTTTGATTTTTAATACATTCTAAGGCTGAGAGTTATTTATGCAACTTTAGTTGTGATACAAACGACGTTAGGCTATAGGTTTTGATTTTTAATACATTCTAAGGCTGCGTGATGCGACTCTAATGATGATTAAAATTTTTTGCATGAAAGGCATGTGCTCTGCTCTGTTTCTTGTGCAGGATGCACACACTTCATCAGTCTCTCATTCACAATTTGACAAGCACTTGATAATATTCTCACCCATCAGACTATTCTTAATTTCATCTGGTCTTTACATATAGCATATGAGTGGAATTATTTTGTATTTAGAATGGCCCACAAACAGCAAATGGAGGTTACATGCGGTTAAGTTTTTAATATGCAAGCATAGGCAGCTAAGCTTTTCGTAAAGTAAATTGAATTAAATTGCCAACATTATATAGCCTAATTAGCCTACTCCTGTCTATACAGAAATAAATAAAATAATTCTAAATAGGGTACTAAAGCATGATTTGGCCACAGAGGATAATTCATTGTGGATTGTTTTAAATCGTATTGCCTACAGTCGGAAGGAAAGATAGCGCTCACAATTTGGGCAGATTAATGTTGAGTTGCGACTGTCTGTGAAAAGTAGAGGCCAAGCCAGGCATATCGCAATATTTCAAAATACAATCACAGGAAAACATAGTTTGGAAAGCAAATGGTTATTGCTGTAAAGAGAAGACAATGAAAAGACTAATCTGTATTTTAGTTATCAAAATTCTTAACTTAAATGAATGAACAACAGTATAGCCTATCTTATTGGCACCAGTGGAGAGCATCGGCAATATCCTCACTGTGCATATTCACTATTTAGGCCTACAGTATCTGCAAATGTGAGGATGCATGGAATGCTTTATTATAAAGGTGCATTTTTATGGTGAAAATTAGCTTCCCCGAACTTGAAACTCACGCGCCGCCTATGTATACCAGGTTGTAAAGCGGATTAATGTGCTTAATGTTGTGCAGATATGGGATATACATTTGAAAAGAAATTATAAATATAGTTTAGTTATTTATTGTCCTATCATGATGGAACGGTCCCCAACCCTATACTCTAGACACCCACCTGAGCGACCCATACAGTAAGGAGAAAGCCTTATCTGGTTTATGGTCCCACTGTAAGTAGCCTATACGCAGCCAAAACAGAAAGATAAATGCGGTCAGAGATCCACTAAAGCAGCACTGCCCCCTCAAGATTCTGAGCCTGTCTGGCAGGGTTGGTCCTACAAAGCCAAAGCCCCCTGATGGGTGAGCATAATATACAAGGAATTTCTCAAAGCTGCTAATGAGAACCTTGACGACCTTGTACCTAGCTGGTGAGGATTCCGGTGGGGTGCCCCCACCCAGGTAGTGGCAGTGCTGGCAACACTAGCTGCAGTAACCCATGGGGGGGGGGGGGTCACACTTGGATAATCAGAGAGGGGGCAAATTACTGTGGCCCTGGTGGCACGGAATGATCAAAGGTCTGACTGCACAGAGATGCTTGGGAAAACAGGGGACCCGCGTGTGTGTGTTTCAGGGGAAGTGGGTGTACCTGATCTCCAACAGCTAGGACTTGACATTGGTTAATCAAATTTCCCAATTTCAGCAAATGTTTTCTAAATTTTGCATGCTTTCTCAAACAGCTGCAACTGTATATGCATTCGCACATCAAGTCCGTTCTTGAGTTGGGTTCGGTGATGGAACAGCTGTTGAACATCTGAGCTTGTGGTTGTTTGAGGGGGAAAGTGGTCGAGTGTGCATATGTGGGAACTCCTTCAAGACTATTGGAAAAGCATTCCAGGTGAAGCTGGTTGAGAGAATGCCAAGCGTGTGCAAAGCTGTCATAAAGGCAAAGGGGGGCTATTTGAAGAATCTCAAATATAAAATATATTTTGATTTGTTTAACACTTTTTTTGGTTACTACATGATTCCATATGTGTTATTTGATAGTTTTGATGTCTTCACTATTATTCTACAATGTGTAAAATAGTCAAAATAAAGAAAAACCCTTGAATGAGTAGGTGTGTCCAGACTTTTGACTGGTACTGTATATAAAAATATATATGGGGGATTGGAAATGATGCAGACAATTACATTGATGGAAGCTACAATCTATCTGCAATATTAAAGCTGATCTACCACCCCCCCCCCCCCCCCCCAAATATTTTTTTTTTTAAAGTAACGTGCTTAATTTTAAGAATTGAGTAATAAATACAGTGAGGGAAAAAAGTATTTGATCCCCTGCTGATTTGGTACGTTTGCCCACTGACAAAGACATGATCAGTCTATAATTTTAATGGTAGGTTTATTTGAACAGTGAGAGACAGAATAACAACAACAAAATCCAGAAAAATGCATGTCAAAAATGTTATACATGTATTTGCATTTTAATGAGGGAAATAAGTATTTGACCCCTCTGCAAAACATGACTTAGTACTTGGTGGCAAAACCCTTGTTGGCAATCACAGAGGACAGACGTTTCTTGTAGTTGGCCACCAGGTTTGAGCACATCTCAGGAGGGATTTTGTCCCACTCCTCTTTGCAGATCTTCTCCAAGTCATTAAGGTTTCGAGGCTGACGTTTGGCAACTCGAACCTTCAGCTCCCTCCACAGATTTTCTATGGGATTAAGGTCTGGAGACTGGCTAGGCCACTCCAGGACCTTAATGTGCTTCTTCTTGAGCCACTCCTTTGTTGCCTTGGCCGTGTGTTTTGGGTCATTGTCATGCTGGAATACCCATCCACGACCCATTTTCAATGCCCTGGCTGAGGGAAGGAGGTTCTCACCCAAGATTTGACGGTACATGGCCCCGTCCATCATCCCTTTGATGCGGTGAAGTTGTCCTGTCCCCTTAGCAGAAAAACACCCCCAAAGCATAATGTTTCCACCTCCATGTTTGACAGTGGGGATGGTGTTCTTGGGGTCATAGGCAGCATTCATCCTCCTCCAAACACGGCGAGTTGAGTTGATGGCAAAGAGCTCGATTTTGGTCTCATCTGACCACAACACTTTCACCCAGTTCTCCTCTGAATCATTCAGATGTTCATTGGCAAACTTCAGACGGGCCTGTGTATGTGCTTTCTGCAGGATTTCAGTCCTTCATGGCGTAGTGTGTTACCAATTGTTTTCTTGGTGACTATGGTCCCAGCTGCCTTGAGATCATTGACAAGATCCTCCCGTGTAGTTCTGGGCTGATTCCTCACCGTTCTCATGATCATTTCAACCCCACGAGGTGAGATCTTGCATGGAGCCCCAGGCCGAGGGGCTTTTTTGTGTTTCTTCCATTTGTGAATAATCGCACCAACTGTTGTCACCTTCTCACCAAGCTGTTTGGCGATGGTCTTGTAGCCCATTCCAGCCTTGTGTAGGTCTACAATCTTGTCCCTGACATCCTTGGAGAGCTCTTTGGTCTTGGCCATGGTGGAGAGTTTGGAATCTGATTGATTGATTGCTTCTGTGGACAGGTGTCTTTTATACAGGTAACAAGCTGAGATTAGGAGCACTCCCTTTAAGAGTGTGCTCCTAATCTCAGCTCGTTACCTGTATAAAAAAGTCACCTGGGAGCCGGAAATCTTTCTGATTGAGAGGGGGTCAAATACTTATTTCCCTCATTAAAATGCAAATCAATTTATAACATTTTTAACATGCGTTTTTCTGGATTTTTTTGTTGTTATTCTGTCTCTCACTGTTCAAATAAACCTACCATTAAAATTATAGACTGATCATGTCTTTGTCAGTGGGCAAATGTACAAATCAGCAGGGGATCAAATACTTTTTTTCCCTCACTGTATAGCAAGCACGAGAAAGCTGGGATCCTCCTTTTAAATAGTGGCCAGTAACAATGCGATCACCAACAGACTTGTCCCTCACTGTTAGCCCAACAGCTTTAAATATGGGGCTCATATATTCTGAGTCACCCACCACATTTCATATACTAAATAATAGATGTGTGAAATTAGTTTTGATTAGAATGAACCATTATCATGCATGTCGGAAAAGGGGCAGGGGAAAATAATACGTCATCATATGCACTTAAATAGCGAATGGAGGACGCTTTTACCGCGGTTCATTTTCATGCCAGCCAGGTAGGCTATACTCCTGTTGTAAAGCGAAGCAATGTGCTTAATATTAGTAAAGTTGAGAAGTAAATATAGTAGGCCTAGCCTATAGAAAGCTGATGGGATCCTCCTCTTTTTAATAGAGGCCATCAAAACTCTGTTTTCTCACACAATTTCATAGCCTTAAGAAGTGTTGCGCAAGGGGGCGGCAGGTAGCTTAGTGGTTAAGAGTGTTGTGCCAGTAACCGAAAGGTCGCTGGTTCTAATCCCCGAGCTGACTAGGTGAAAAATCTGTCGATGTGCCCTTGAGCAAGGCACTTAACCCTAATTGCTCCTGTAAGTCGCTCTGGATAAGAGCGTCTGCTAACAATAGATCGCTGAGTACCAGGCCATTAGCGACTGGCAGTTAGCAAGTTTGGTAGGCTACTAATGACCATAAGCATCATCAGAGCGCATTTTTGGTGAAGCCTAGTTACCGTGACTAAACGATCACATGCGGTCAACGTAACAGCCCTAATCACCACTGACTTCTCCAAGGCCTTTGACAAAATCGACCACACCATCGCCGTTGAACACCTAATCCAACTGGGTGTCAGACCTGCCCTCACAGCATGGCTCTGCAGTTTTGTGACCGCCCGCAAACAACAGGTACACTACCAAGACAGCCTCTCAGACTGGCGGGAGCTGACGGGAGGTGTGCCTCAAGGAACTTTTCTAGGCCCTCTCATCTTCCTTGCAGTCATAGACAGTGCAGCCCGGGATGTCGACAGTAGGTGGAAATATGTTGACGATCTAAATCTGGTCAACACGTGTACAACAGGAAACATCAGCACACCACAGCAGGCCCTGAACAACTTCGACATGTTTTATCCTCCATCGCCTTAAAAAGGTTCCATGTGCCACAGGAAGACCTGGTGAGCATTTACACCGGCTACATATGCCACACCTTGGAGTATGCTGCTCCTGCTTGACTCAGCTCACTAACCCAGGTGACCTGGAGAGTGTTCAGAAGAGACCATGCCACACCATCCTAGGAGGATACTCCAGTTATACTGGGGCACTTCAGACCCTGTCCTTACCCCAGTGTCATGAAAGACGGACACAACTCTGCACTGACTTTGCTGTCAGCCTCCTAAAATCTAAATTAAGAGGCTGGCTACCCACTGACCGAATCGCAGTGACAGGCAGGAACACCCAGAGTCAAAACAAACAAACTGAATGGTACATGAGGTCACCAATCCCATATTTCTGCTTATTGATTTAAGGAGTGTTTTTAAAACTGCAGGACATTATTGATGAATTTTTTTTTACTCGTTTTCTATTGTTGTTGCTCTTACCCATTAATATTTTGTATGGATTTAAAATCAAATCAAATTTTATTTGTCACATGTGCCGAATACAACGTAGACCTTACCGTAAAATGCTTACTTACAAGCCCTTAACCATCAATGCAGTTTTAAGAAAAATAAGAGTTTTCAGTTTGTATTGACTGCTATATGAGTGTAATAAGTCAAACTTATATATTTTTTTAAACAACAGACAGTCACTGTTCATATTTTCTATGTGTGTGTGAATTGACACTTCTTCCCTCCATCCCCCTACAGAAAGATGTGAGGGCTGACCCTGAAGCCGTCCAACAGGTGGCCGAGGCTACAGACAACCTCCTGGAGAGCTTGGGCTCGCTGGCCGTTGAGGTAGACAATCACTGTCATCACTGCAGTTTATTACATGATGAAAACTATAAGGTTTTCTGCTGCCTGCCATGATAGCCCAGTACATTTCCTGTTTTTAACCATGTTTCTTTTTATGACTGTCTTAACGAACACCCCTACCTAAGATCAACAGTTTGTTGTTGGCTGGACCACAGACAGAAAAGGCCCTTAGATGTACACTGAGTGTACAAAACATTAGGAACACCTGCTTTCTATGACAGACTGACCAGGTGAATCCAGGTGAAAGCTATGATCCCTTATTGATGTCACTTGTTAAATCCACTTCAATCAGTGTAGATCAGGGTTCTTCAATTCCGGTCCTGGAGGGCCGAAACACTTCTGTTTTTTATTTCTACCTGGTAGTTAATTGCACTCACCTGGTGTCCCAGGTCTGAATTAGCCCCTGATTAGAAGGAGAGGATGAAAACAGAGGTGTTTCGGCCCTCCAGGACCGGAATTGAAGAACCCTGGTTTAGATGAAGGGGAGGAGACAGGTTAAAGAAGGATTTTTAAGCCTTGAGACAATTGAGACATGGATTGTGTATGTGTGCTATTCAGAGGGTGAATGGGCAAGACAAAATATTTAAGTTCCTTTGAACGGGGTATGGTATTATGTGCCAGGCGCACCGGTTTGTGTCAAGAACTGCAACGCTGCTGGGTTTTTCACACAGTTTCCCGTGTGTATCAAGAATGGTCCATCACCCAAAGGATATCCAGCCAACTTGACACAACTGTGGGCCAGCATCCCTGTGGAACGCTTTCGACAACTTGTAGAGTCCATGCCCTGACGAATTGAGGCTGTTCTGAGGGCAAAAGGGGGTGCAACTCAATATTAGGAAGGTGTTCCTAAAGTTTTGTACCCTCAGTGTATAGGATGAAAACATCAATGGAGAACATAATTACAAAATGGCCGCCACAAATGTCTCCCCCTCACCCCGACCTTTAATCTGGTCTTATTTGAAGTTTCACAGCATACAGGAGGAGAGGTTGGACTTAAACAGCACGTGGCGTTTTGCAGCCACCCTCAACTCGCTGCAGTATTTGTTTGTTGCCTGATAACCTCACCCAATTTGTTTGGATTGCTAATACATGTAGCTAGAAAGTTAATTGGAGAGGCAGTTGGTCCCTAGATGTTTGAGCCACAGCTTTTTTTATTACATGTTTTTATTTAACCTTTATTTAACCAGGTAAGACAGTTGAGAACAAGTTCTCATTTAAAACTGCGACCTGGCCAAGATAAAGCAAAGCACTGCGATAAAAACAACAACACAGAGTTACATATGGGGTAAAACAAAACAAAGTCAAAAATACAACAGAAAATATATATACAGTGTGTGCAAATGTAGCAAGTTATGGAGGTAAGGCAATAAATAGGCCATAGTGCAAAAAATTACAATTAGTATTAACACTGGAATGATAGATGTGCAAGAGATGATGCACAAATAGAGATACTGGGGTGCAAATTAGCAAAATAAATAACAATATGGGGATGAGGTAGTTGGGTGGGCTAATTTCAGATGGGCTGTGTACAGGTGCAGTGATCGGTAAGGTGCTCTGACAACTGATGCTTAAAGTTAGTGAAGGAGATAAGAGTCTCCAGCTTCAGAGATTTTTGCAGTTCGTTCCAGTCATTGGCAGCAGAGAACTGGATGGAATGGCGGCCAAAGGAGGTGTTGGCTTTGGGGATGACCAGTGAGATATACCTGCTGGAGCGCATATGGGTGTTGCTATGTTGACCAATGAGCTAAGATAAGACGGGGATTTGCCTAGCAGTGATTTATAGATGGCCTGGAGCCAGTGGGTTTGGCGACGAATATGTAGTGAGGACCAGCCAACAAGAGTGTACAGGTCACAGTGGTGGGTAGTATATGGGGCTTTGGTGACAAAACAGATGGCACTGTGATAGACTACATCAAATTTGCTGAGTAGAGTGTTGGAGGCTATTTTGTAAATGACATCGCCAAAGTCAAGGATCGGTAGGATAGTCAGTTTTACGAGGGCATGTTTGGCAGCATGAGTGAAGGAGACTTTGTTGCGAAATAGGAAGCCGATTCTAGATTTAACTTTGGATTGGAGATGCTTAATGTGAGTCTGGAAGGAGAGTTTACAGCTTAATGTCAAGGATTACTGTTTGCCAGTGTTCTAATGTGATGATAATCACAGTTTTCTCCTGTGAAAAGATATGAGAACAGAATAGGATGGAGGAATTCACCTCTTTCACCACGGGGGGCCAGTATGAAAAAATATATATATAATGTACAGTGGGGAAAAAAAGTATTTAGTCAGCCACCAATTGTACAAGTTCTCCCACTTAAAAAGATGAGAGAGGCCTGTAATTTTCATCATAGGTACATGTCAACTATGACAGACAAATTGAGATTTTTTTTCTCCAGAAAATCACATTATAGGATTTTTAATGAATTTATTTGCAAATTATGGTGGAAAATAAGTATTTGGTCACCTACAAACAAGTAAGATGTCTGGCTCTCACAGACCTGTAACTTCTTCTTTAAGAGGCTCCTCTGTCCTCCACTCGTTACCTGTATTAATGGCACCTGTTTGAACTTGTTATCAGTATAAAAGACACCTGTCCACAACCTCAAACAGTCACACTCCAAACTCCACTATGGCCAAGACCAAAGAGCTGTCAAAGGACACCAGAAACAAAATTGTAGACCTGCACCAGGCTGGGAAGACTGAATATGCAATAGGTAAGCAGCTTGGTTTGAAGAAATCAACTGTGGGAGCAATTATTAGGAAATGGAAGACATACAAGACCACTGATAATCTCCCTCGATCTGGGGCTCCACGCAAGATCTCACCCCGTGGGGTCAAAATAATCACAAGAACGGTGAGCAAAAATCCCAGAACCACACAGGGGGACCTAGTGAATGACCTGCAGAGAGCTGGGACCAAAGTAACAAAGCCTACCATCAGTAACACACTACGCCGCCAGGGACTCAAATCCTGCAGTGCGAGACGTGTCCCCCTGCTTAAGCCAGTACATGTCCAGGCCCGTCTGAAGTTTGCTAGAGTGCATTTGGATGATCCAGAAGAGGATTGGGAGAATGTCATATGGTCAGATGAAACCAAAATAGAACTTTTTGGTAAAAACTCAACTCGTCGTGTTTGGAGGACAAAGAATGCTGAGTTGCATCCAAAGAACACCATACCTACTGTGAAGCATGGGGGTGGAAACATCATGCTTTGGGGCTGTTTTTCTGCAAAGGGACCAGGACGACTGATCCGTGTAAAGGAAAGAATGAATGGGGCCATGTATCGTGAGATTTTGAGTGAAAACCTCCTTCCATCAGCAAGGGCATTGAAGACGAAACGTGGCTGGGTCTTTCAGCATGACAATGATCCCAAACACACCGCCCGGGCAACGAAGGAGTGGCTTCGTAAGAAGAATTTCAAGGTCCTGGAGTGGCCTAGCCAGTCTCCAGATCTCAACCCCATAGAAAATCTTTGGAGGGAGTTGAAAGTCTGTGTTGCCCAGCGACAGCCCCAAAACATCACTGCTCTAGAGGAGATCTGCATGGAGGAATGGGCCAAAATACCAGCAACAGTGTGTGAAAACCTTGTGAAGACTTACAGAAAATGTTTGACCTGTGTCATTGCCAACAAAGGGTATATAACAAAGTATTGAGAAACTTTTGTTATTGACCAAATACTTATTTTCCACCATAATTTGCAAATAAATTCATTAAAAATCCTACAATGTGATTTTCTGGAAAAAATATTCTCATTTTGTCTGTCATAGTTGACGTGTACCTATGATGAAAATTACAGGCCTCTCTCATCTTTTTAAGTGGGAGAACTTGCGCAATTGGTGGCTGACTAAATAAAAAATTTCCCCACTGTATGCACTAACTGTAAGTCGCTCTGGATAAGAGCGTCTGCTAAATGACTAAAATGTAAATGTAAATGTAAGTCAAGTACTGTAGGTCTGACACATACAGTGCATTCGGAAAGTATTCAGACCCCTTGACTTTTTCCACATTTTGTTACGTTACAGCCTTATTCTAAAATTGATGAAATTAATTATTTTTCTCATCAATCTACACACAATACCCAGTAATGACAAAGCAAAAACAGGTTTTTAGAAAGAAATGAAAAATCAGAAATACCTTATTTACATAAGTATTCATACCCTTTGCTATGAGACTCGAAATTGAGCTCAGGTGCATCCTGTTTCCATTGATCATCCTTGAGATGTTTCTACAACTTGATTGGAGTCCACCTGTGGTAAATTCAATTGATTGGACATAATTTGGAAAGGCACACACCTGTCTATATAAGGTCCCACAGTTGACAGTGCATGTCAGAGCAAAAACCAAGCCATGAGGTCGAAGGAATTGTCCGTAGAGCTCCGAGACAGGATTGTGTCGAGGCACAGATCTGGGGAAGGGTACCAAAAAATGTCTGCAGCTTTGAAGGTCTCCAAGAACACAGTGGCATCCATCATTCTTAAATGGAAGAAGTTTGGAACCACCAAGACTCTTCCTAGAGCTGGCCGCCTGGCCAAACTGAGCAATCGGGGGAGAAGGGTCTTAGTCAGGGAGGTGACCAAGAACCCAATGGTCACTCTTGACAGCTCTCCAGAGTTCCTCTGTGGAGATGGAAGAATCTTCCAGAAGGACAACCATCTCTGCAGCACTCCACCAATCAGGCCTTTATGGTAGAGTGGCCAGACGGAAGCCACTCTTCAGTGAAAGGCACATGACAGCCCGCTTGGAGTTTGCCAAAAGGCACCTAAAAACAACATTCTCTGGTCTGATGAAACCAAGATTGAACTCTTAACAAAGTACTGAGTAAAGGGTCTGAATACCTATGTAAATGTGATATTTCCGTTTTTTATTTATACATTTGCAAAAAATTCTAAAAATGTGTTTTTGCTTTGTCATTATGGGGAATTGTGTGTAGATTGATGAGGGGTAAAAAACAACAACAATTTAATCAATTTTAGAATAAGGCTGTAACGTAACAAAATGTGAAAAAAAGTCAAGGGGTCTGAATACTTTCCAAATGCACTGTATGTTGAGAATATCTCTTATATTGAGGATATCTCTTATATTGAGAATATCTCTATTCTCGTTGTGTTCTTGCTATTTTCTTGCTTTGTCAGTTATACTGTCCTCCATAGCAATAGAAAAGGACCCTTGTAAGTAACTTGGCAGTAACTGTATTGGTATCCAGTGTCTCTGAGCCTAGATTTCCTCAGGAGATAGATGACTAGGAACAGCTGAACAAAGAGAGAAGTCTTTCTAAACAAGTTAGTGGGCTAGTCAGCATTTACCCAAAGGAAAGTTAACTCGAGCTGATTGATTTACACCGAGGAGGCTTTAAGACTGGCTCGATGGCGGGCCAGACTGTACCCAAGTGTTTTGTCTGTGTTTTCTCAACCCATCAGTGCTCTGTTGATTACTTTGCTTACAACAATAAGGATAACCCCTATAAGTATACATAGATTCTTATGTCCGCAAACACATGTTGGTATGTTGCAACTGCATACCCATGTCATAAGCATTTCACTATACCCTCGATAACATCTGAAAAATATGTGTATGTGACCAATAAAATTAGATTTGAGCTATGTAGAACTTCTATGTAGTGTTTATGAAGGCTCTTAACTACAGTATACTGTACAGTCTTTAGGAGTTACTAAAACAAGTAGACACACACTTTGTTGTTCTTTGTTGCCTGCTAAGCCCAACAATGTATATGAAGATGTCAAGAAACTCTGAGTCACTAAATATGACTTGGTTTGGCACATTACCCTGGGGTTATGTAGGGGTGTGAACCCCCTAGAAACAACTCACGAGGGGTCCAGAGCTGCTGTCCTGTTATTGTGTGAGAGTTCAGTGTGTACAGCTGTTTCCCCCGTGTCTCTCTCACACACACACACACACACACACACACTCTGTTCCAGGTGCGCCGCCCGGGCTAGATTGAAACCATGTGCCTGCTTTCTTGCTGTCGTGGCCAGGCTGAGTCAGGTCCATCTGTACGGAGAGGAGGGAAGGGGAGGAGATGGGAGGGCCTGACTGGCACGTATGTAAACACATTGTCATAGGCTCTGGGAGAGGCAACAGTCAGTACCACGTCTCTCCTCCTCCGCCCCAGTGATGAATGACCGAGAGTAACCTTTTCCCTCTGGCACATATTTTTTTCTCACTCCTGACTTTCTCTGTTTTCCCAGGCTGGGTGAGGAAACCAGCTTTGGCGAGTGAGAAAAAGAAGGATAGAAATAGATAGTGAGAGAGAAGAGGTCAAACATAGAATGGCAAATCTGCCACAAAAGGTGTAGCTTTTCTGTGCAGACATAACAGCACACATTTCTTAGTACTGTATTATGTGAATGTTGTAATAAGGCATTGTGCATTACAAGGCATTAGGACAGTTAGCACACACGCTTTTCAGGCTTCTTGTGAGGTCTGTTGTTGTGTTTTCAATGCTCCTAGTCTGCGCCGTGTCCATCCTTTTTTATAATCCGGTATCAAGATCAATTATTGACCAGAAATGCAAGGCAGCAAAATCAGGTTGTTGTAAAAATCCTCTGGTCAGCCAAAGAACCAGGGTAGCCAAATACCATAATAGCATTAAAAATAAATAATAATAATAATGAACAATAATGCATTAATACACGAGGTGGTGTGATTTACTGTGGTTTTAGCATGGCTGTGCTGAGGTCATAGCTACAAGACAAAGATTAATGTATCCATCTATCCACACACAGAAAGTCTTTACAACACATTGACAAGTTGCCTTATAACAATATGTATCCATTTCACCATCTCAACAAGCTGGTCTGGAATCACAATGAACTGCTCCAAGTCCAGGTCACACTCTCATTTGCATCCTACAAGATGACCCCCTGACCCCATTTGCTAACATCACAACCCCTTATGTCCCAAATAGCTGGCCAGCATGAAGAGTTGGAGAGACCTGCGTAACGAGATCATCTTCCTCACTGAGAACGCCACATCCTCCCCCAGCCACATGTACCAGGCCGTGTCGCGCATCGTCTGCGGCCACCCCGAGGGTGGCGGACTAAAGATCAAGTCCCTCAACTGGTACGAGGACAACAACTACAAGGCCCTGTTTGGCAACCACAACACAACCGATGGGGAGGAGCCCATCTCTGCCTATGACAACACATCCAGTAGGCAACTTCTCCTTCATGTTAATGTATTCCAGTGGTATTCTTTGCTAGAAAATCTCCCATCTGTGAATACCACTGATCTATTCCCTGATTTCCAAACTGCTTCAAGGATAGCTGTGACATCCTTGTCTGGACCTGATGTCATTGTTCCTTCTGTGACCCCTCCAGCGCCATACTGTAACGCTATGATGAGGAACATGGAGTCCAGCCCCATGTCCAGGATGATCTGGCAGGCCCTGAAGCCTCTGCTCATGGGCAAGATCCTGTACACCCCTGACACCCCCGCCACACAGAAGATCATCCACGAGGTGTGTATCAGTCATACTATACCTCTTAGCTACAGTATATTGCTGGTTCCAGTAGTTGTTTTAGCAGAACACTAACTGTCCCACTCTCGCCCTCTCCTCCAGGTGAACAGAACATTCCAGGAGCTGGGGGTCCTCAGAGAGCTGGGGGGCATGTGGGAGGAAATTAAGCCCAAGGTCTGGGACTTCATGGAGAGCAGCGAACACATGGACCTAGTAAGGGTATGTCTGACTAATCTGTTGTCTCTACTACAGCCAACATCACATATACTGTATGTTAGCCTTGTGGAGCACCTTTGTAGAATACCTTATACAACATTTTATTTTCAGTTTTGAAATGCTTTTGGCTTATTGAATGGCATCAGTAATAATAACTCAGAGACAAAACCCAGGACATGACACAGTAACATAGCAAATAGCAATACAACAAAATACATGATTAAGTAACATGGTAGGAAGCAGCCCTTTCAGATGGTCAACACTGGCATCTTGTGGAGGGATGCGGGACGGTGCCACAAAGTCCTCAGCCACTCACAGTCACTCTCCTGCTCTTCCCCCCTCTCTCGCAGACCCTACTGAAGAACAATGGCACTGCCAGCTTCTTCACCTCCCAACTGGCGGGCACAGAGTGGACTGTGGAGGACGTCTCCAACTTCCTGACTAAACATTCGCAGGACACGCGCCCTCACGGCACCGCCTTCACCTGGAGGGAAGTCTTCAACGAGACGGACCAGGCCATCATGAGCATATCCCGCTTCATGGAGGTCTCTCTCTCTCTTTCACTCTCTTTCTCTCTCTCTCTCTCTCTCGCTCGCTCACTCTCACGCACACACACGCAGTCACTTGGCCACTTTCTTAGCCTCCGTTCAATTTAGTTTCTTTTCTGGTGAAATCCCCATTCAGCACCTTCTGCAATACATGCCAATTACATAATTGCGGGCGGTAAAACAAAAAGTGAAACACATCAAGGTGCTTTGGGTCTGAGGGTTTTCATTCCAGTCATTGCCCTCTCTTTGTGGAAATAGTAGTCAGAAAAACACAGCTGGACCAAGTTAGCCATGAACCTGATGAACATTCCATTTAAAGCCTCCCCATCCCCCCCTTCCAGCATGTGAATGGATCTGCTAGTCCTGGCCAAGACCAAATGAGGATAGGCCTTTAACAAATGTGTTTGTTTGTTTACAGTGTGTAAACCTGGATAAGATGGAGCCCGTGGCCAATGAGGAAAGGATGGTCAACAAATCCATGGCGCTCCTGGACGATAGGAAGTTCTGGGCGGGGATTGTGTTTCCCGACATTGAGGCCAACAGCTCTGAACTGCCAGCCAACGTCAACTACAAAATCCGCATGGACATCGATAATGTGGAGCGCACCAACAAGATCAAAGATGGGTATGTTGATTCAAGCGCCCCAATCTACCTACTAGATGTATTGGACAGTGTTTTATGTCTGTGCCATTGTGGTCATTTTGAACATTAACTTTATTTTTTTTTGGCAGAGGATCACTTTCAGCTTTTTTCTGTTTTGTTGGTAAAATTAGAATTTGATGTGAACCTTGCTCCTTGGGAGGGAGTGAATTTGTAAGAGGTTTACAGAAGGGGGGTTTAAGAATTGATTTTGCTCTCTCCTAACAGATATTGGGACCCCGGTCCTCGTGCCGACCCCTTTGAGGACCTGCGCTACATCTGGGGCGGCTTCTCTTACCTCCAGGACATCATCGAGCACAGCATCATCACAGTAGTGACTGGCGTTAAGGAGAAGACGGGAGTCTACATCCAACAGATGCCCTACCCCTGCTACGTGGATGACATGTGAGTCACACCGAGCAGGATTTGAGGCAGCTTACGACAGGCTAACTGCAAGGCTTCAAAATGGCATCTATTTCCTCCTTTGACCTATGACGTCTGTCCTCCAGCTTCCTGCGGGTGATGAGTCGCTCCATGCCCCTCTTCATGACCCTGGCCTGGATGTACTCTGTGGCCATCATCATCAAGAGCGTGGTGTACGAGAAGGAGGCGAGGCTGAAGGAGACCATGAGGATCATGGGATTGGACAACGGCATCTTGTGGTTCAGCTGGTTCATCAGCAGCCTCATCCCCCTGCTCATTTCTGCCGGCCTGCTGGTGGTGCTGCTCAAGGTACTGCACTGCATACCAGGATTTAGGATGACAATGATCCTTTTTTGCATCACAATATTTCAGTGATATCAGTATTGCAATATTTCAGTGATATCGGTATGGTGACATTAACTTGTATTCATATTTGATGTTGATGTGAGACCGGTTTTTAATTGACTTCCTCCCTATTTACCAATGAGCATCCTCCCTCTCTCTCCTCTAATCAGATGGGGAACCTGCTGCCCTACAGTGACCCCGGCGTCATCTTCCTGTTCCTGGGTTCCTTCGCTGTGGTAACCATCATGCAGTGCTTCCTCATCAGCACAATGTTTGCCCGTGCCAACCTGGCGGCGGCATGTGGTGGCATCATCTACTTCACCCTCTACCTGCCCTATGTCCTCTGTGTGGCCTGGCAGGACTACGTGGGCTTTGGGGCCAAAATTGTCGCTGTGAGTCATGCTTTTATATGTACTAGAGATTTTGAGTTGATGTTGGTTGTCCACGTGTGACGTTTTATAAGAGGAGCCACTTTCATTAAATTATTAAGTATAGTGCCACTACAAAAAGGGCAGCTTTTTCATTTAAATGTGTTTGTAATGTAACTGTCTCTTTTGACACATCATTGTTTTTTTTGCTGCTGGTTACCTCTTCGGGCTCAGCATCTTATTGGCATTGGTGTTGTATATGATACACTATATATACACAAAAGTATGTGGACACCCCTTCAAATTAGTGGATTCGGCTATTTCAGCCACACCCGTTGCTGACAGGTGTATAAAATCGAGCACACAGCCATGCAATCTCAATAGACAAACATTGTCAGTAGAATGGCTTTACTGAAGAGCTCAGTGACTTTCAACGTGGCACCGTCATAGGATGCCACCTTTCTAACAAGTCAGTTTGTCACATTTCTGCCCTGCTAGAGCTGCTCCGATCAACTGTAAGTGCTGTTATTGTGAAGTGGAAACGTCTAGGAGCAACAACGGCTCAGCCGTGAAGTGGTAGGCCACACAAGCTCACAGAACGGGACCGCCGAGTGCTTAAGGGCGTAACGCGTAAAAATCGCCTTTACTCTGTTGTAACACTCACCACGAGTTCCAAACTGCCTCTGGAAGCAACAGGACAATAACTGTTCACCGAGAGCTTCATAAAATGGGTTTCCATGGCCGAGCAGGCGCACACAAGCCTAAGATCACCATGTGCAATGCCAAGCGTCGGCTGGAGTGGTGTAAAGCTCACCGCCATTTGACTCTGGAGCAGTGGAAACACGTTCTCTGGAGTGATGAATCACGCTTCACCATCTGGCAGTCCGATGGCCGAATCTGGGTTTGGTGGATGCCAGGAGAACGCTACCTGCCCGAATGTACAGTGCAAACTGTAATGTTTGGTGGAGGAGGAATAATGGTCTGGGGCTTTTTTTCATGGTTCAGGCCCCTTAGTTCCAGTGAACGGAAATCTTAACGCTACAGCATACAATGACATTCTAGGTTATTCTATGCTTCCAACTTTGTGGCAACAGTTTGGGGAAGGCCCTTTCTTGTTTCAGCATGACAATGCCCCTGTGCACAAAGCGAGGTCCATACAGAAATGTTTTGTCGAGATTGGTGTGGAAGAACTTGACTGGCCTGCACAGAGCCCTGACCTCATTCCCATTGAACACCTTTGGGATGAATTGGAACGACGACTGCGAGCCAGGCCTAATCGCCCAACATCAGTGCCAGACCTCACTAATGCCCTTTTGGCTGAATGGAAGCAAGCATGTTCCAACATCTAGTGGAAAGCCTTCCCAGAAGAGTGTAGGCTGTTATAGCAGCAAAGGGGGGACCAACACCATATTAATGCCCATGATTTTGAAATGAGATGTTTGACGAGAAGATGTCCACATACTTTTGGTCATGTAGTGTATTAACCTCTCTCCTTCTCTACAGAGCCTGCTGTCCCCAGTGGCCTTTGGCTTTGGCTGTGAGTACTTTGCCCTGTTCGAAGAGCAGGGCATCGGCATCCAGTGGAACAACCTGTTCAACAGCCCCATGGAGGAGGATGACTTCAGCCTGACCACCGCCATCATCATGATGTACTTCGACTCCTTCCTCTACATGGTGATGACCTGGTACATCGAGTCCGTCTTCCCTGGTAGGTGTCCTTGAGCTGAACTGTTCCACTATAATGGATCTGTTTGGGTCCCATTTTGATAGGCTTGTTGAGGCTTCTTGCATTGTATTGTATTGTTTTGATGTTTGCATTGTCTAGATGTATGTGTTTGTTGTGGTCTCCTTCAGGTCAGTATGGTATTCCCAGGCCCTGGTACTTCCTGTTCTCCAAGTCCTACTGGTTTGGAGAAGGAGACAACAGGAAGACTGACTTCAGTCAGAACAAGAGAAGGAACTGTGAAGGTAAGACCCTGATTTAATGCCGATGCAGAGCAACTGATTATCCACATGGTGGCAATATAGATTAGCCCAAAAGTGTGTTGCCAGAATGGTAGTGTGTTGCCAGAATGAGCGAATGGATTTGAGTAGTTGTATGTGTATTAAAGTAAAGGGAAATGGGATGGTCATTGTACCCCATTTGATGGACTGTGTCTTCAGCTGTCTGTATAGAGGAAGAACCAGCCCACCTGAAACCTGGCGTCTTCATAGAGAACCTAGTCAAGGTGTACCGGCACGGGAAGAAGCTGGCTGTGGACGGGCTGACTCTGGGCTTCTACGAGGGACAGATCACCTCTTTCTTGGGCCACAACGGAGCAGGGAAAACCACCACCATGTAAGTGCAATAACACACAAGTAGTGCCATCGGTGAACAATAGCCCATTCAAATTGAGTTGAATGTTAAATTAAAATAATTTAAAAGGATTTAATCTAATATTTGCGTTTTTGTATTTCTCAGGTCGATTCTAACGGGACTGTTTCCCCCTACCTCTGGCACTGCTTACATCCTGGGCAAAGACATCCGATCAGAGCTGAGTGCTATTCGACAGAGTCTGGGCGTTTGTCCACAGCACAACGTTCTCTTCAGCATGTAAGTGTTCCCAGTCCATCATATTAACAACCAGTTTTAACATAAAGTTAATTCTAATGACCCAAAGCAGGTTTCTTATGAGCAGTTGTTGAATGGAGTCTAACGTGGTTGTTTTGGGGTTTGACCAGGCTGACCGTCGAGGAGCACATCTGGTTCTACGCTCGTCTGAAGGGTCTATCTGAGGAACAGGTGAAGTCTGAGATCGAACAGATCCTGATAGACACTGGCCTGCTGCACAAACGCACTTCCAGGACCAGCACACTGTCCGGAGGGATGCAGAGGAAGCTCTCTGTGGCTCTGGCCTTTGTCGGAGGGTCAAAGGTTGTGATTCTGGATGAGCCCACTGCCGGGGTCGACCCCTATGCCCGCAGGGGCATCTGGGACCTTTTGCTCCAATACCGTCAAGGTAACCACTATCTCCTTACCTCTTTTTAGCAGCTATGTTTAAGAAACTACTGGGGGGAGTCCTGTGTGATAACTGTTTTCCCTCCCCCTATCCAGGTCGTACCATCATCCTCTCCACCCACCACATGGACGAGGCGGACATCTTGGGCGACCGCATCGCCATCATCTCCCACGGCAAGCTGTGCTGCGTGGGCTCCTCCCTCTTCCTGAAGAACCAGCTGGGTACAGGCTACTACCTCACCCTGGTCAAGAAGTGCCCAGAACCTTTCCTCAGCTCCTGCCGCAACTCCTCCAGCACAGTCTCCTTCACCAAGAAGGAGGAGGATTGTCCCTCTGAGAGCAGCTCCGACGCAGGCCTTGGCAGCGAACACGAGAGTGAAGTAGCTACCATAGAAACTGCTCAGGCAGCTTCCAACTGCGAAAGTGCCTTCGTGCCCCCCGATGTCTCCCTGATCTCCAGCCTGATCTTCAAGCACGTCCCGGCCGCCCGCATGGTGGAAAACCTTGGCCACGAGCTCATCTATGTCCTGCCCTACGGCGCCGCCAAGGACGGAGCCTTCGTAGAGCTCTTCAAGGACATGGACAGTCGCCTCCCTGACCTGGGCATATCCAGCTATGGTGTCTCCGACACCACCCTGGAAGAGGTACAACTAGAATAGATTATTAAATGGATAATGTCCAGATGCTCAAAGTGCTTTACATTGCATTGGGGAATAGTGTTTGATTTCTGTCTTTTCTATCTCCTTGTAGATTTTCCTGAAAGTGGCAGAGGACAACGGAGTTGACACTGAAGTTCCCTCAGGTAAGAACCCTTTAGAAATCACCTGTGGGTGTGACTCGGATGATCAATTTTTGAATGGCTCTAGAAAACGTTAGCATCTGTTAATTTATGTTATTTTGTATGTGTTTTTGCCTAGACGGTACCCTCCCTGTGCGCAGACGTCGTAGAAATCATGCCTTTGGTGGAGGAAATGCCTTCGGTGGAGACCACCAGAGCTGCCTTAGACCCCAGATTGACGACGACAACAATGAACATAACGACTCAGACGCAGACCCAGAATCCAGAGAGACAGACTTATTGAGCGGCTCAGATGGTAAAGGCTCCTACCAGGTGAAGGGCTGGGGTTTGAAGAGGCAGCAATTTGTGGCCTTGATTTGGAAGAGGTTTCTGTACGCTCAACGCTCCAGAAAAGGTTTCTTTGCTCAGATTGTACTCCCTGCCGTGTTTGTGTGCATTGCCCTGGTCTTCAGTCTCATCGTCCCACCATTTGGAAAATACCCCAGTCTGGAGCTGCAGCCATGGATGTATGAAGAACAGTCCCTCTTCATCAGTGATGACGCCCCTGAAGATGCTAGCACACAACAGTTATTGAGTGCCCTCACCGAAGGACCTGGGTTTGGAACGCGCTGCATGGAAGGACAGCCCATACCGTGAGTCTCAATATGCCAGGGTTTAACAAAATAGCTATTTCCATTTGTACCATTTCTCCTGTCTTTGAGGAAATAAATATATGACAGATAGGTTTACGATGTGGCACATATTTTCAATGTTCTTTAGGAGATAATGACTCTCAATCTCTCCCTCCCTCCTCCTTCTCTCTCAGTGACACTCCCTGTACGATGGGTGACGAGGACTGGTCCATACCGGAGGTCCCGGAGACCATTCTGGAACTGTTCCGCACAGGTAACTGGACCATGGAGGAGCCGTCCCCCGCATGCGCCTGCAGCTGTGAAGGCCGCAAGAAAATGCTCCCTGAGTGTCCTGCTGGAGCCGGAGGACTGCCACCCTCCCAGATGAAGATCAGCGAGACAGACACCCTGCAAAACCTGACCGGCAGAAACATCTCTGACTACCTGGTGAAGACCTATGCAGAGATCATTGGGAAAAGGTATAACTTTCATATATATATTGCATATATTTTATAACAGTGTTATGATATAGTATGTACAATAATTGAGTTATACAAGTGTTTTTGTATACCTGTCCAGCCCAAATTGACATTCAATAATTATATTTCTTTTTTTATTTTCACAGTTTGAAGAACAAGATCTGGGTAAATGAATTTAGGTATGGTGGCTTCTCATTGGGTGCCAGGAGCACCCACGTCCTCCCCCCAGCTGATGAAATTGACGACGCCATCGCTCGAGTGAGGAAGATTTTCAAATTGGAGAAGGTGAGACTTCTATTCATTCATTCCCACATTCACTATACCTCGGTTTCTGCCACGAACACAACATCACTGCCACCAATCTAAACCATTGTTATTCTTTATCTTCAGGGTGCAGCCGCAGACCGATTCCTGGAGAGCTTGTCTAGCTTCATCAATGGTCTGGACACCAAGAACAATGTCAAGATTTGGTTCAACAACAAGGGGTGGCACAGCATGGGAGCCTTCCTCAACGTGATGAACAACGGCATCCTGCGCGCCAACCTGCCCCCTGGCAAGGACCCCAGCAAGTTTGGCATCCGCGCCTTCAACCACCCGCTCAACCTCACCAAGGAGCAGCTGTCCCAGGTGGCACTGTAAGTACCCACGCCACAGGCATCTTGGAACAATGACATCATTAAAGTAATTTACCTAGTAAATGTAAATTACCTAGTACAGCGTTTCCCAAACTCGGTCCTGGGGACCCCAAGCTTGATGATTAGTTGATTATTTGAATCAGCTGTGTAATGATAGGGCAAAAACCAAAACGTGCACCCCTTGGGGTCTCGAGGACCGAGTTTGGGAAACCCTGACCTAGTAGAATGTATAGTTTGTAAAGTGTGCCTAGCACAGTATACTCTCCATTCTGTGTCCATTCCACCCAACTCACTGACCACCTAACCCCCCCTCTCTGTAGGATGACCACCTCAGTGGACGTCCTGGTGTCCATCTGCGTGATCTTCGCCATGTCCTTCGTCCCAGCCAGCTTCGTAGTCTTCCTCATCCAGGAGAGAGTGAGCAAGGCCAAGCACATGCAGTTCATCAGCGGCGTGCAGCCCCTGCTCTACTGGACTGCCAACTTCATCTGGGACATGGTGAGAACTCCTAGCGACCATTTTGAGTTTTCTTCTGAGCATTTAGCAACAGTTTTCTACTAGTTTAAAGTGCTACATGAACAGAATTAGTTTGATTGATTGACTGCTAACTTTGTACTCTTTTTTGTCTTGCAGTGTAACTACATCGTCCCGGCGACACTCGTCATCATCATCTTCGTCTGCTTCCAACAAAAGGCCTACGTGTCGTCCACCAACCTGCCAGTGCTGGCCCTGCTGTTGCTTCTCTATGGGTGGTCTATCACTCCCCTGATGTACCCGGCGTCCTTCTTCTTTAAGATCCCCAGCACAGCCTACGTGGTGCTCACCTCCGTCAACATCCTCATCGGCATCAACGGCAGCATCTCCACCTTTGTCATGGAGCTCTTCGGAGACAACGTAAGTGACACCAGACATTGGCTGCATAACGTGGTGTGCTCATCCTTGCTTAAGGAAGCCATTTAGTTTTTTAGACAACAGAGAATTAACAAGGTAATTTGTTAAGGTTCCACTTATCTGGTGACATTAAGGGTTAAATATTCATCATATTCCCTCTTCAGGAGATTGGGGGTATCAACAACATCCTGAAGAACGTTTTGCTGATCTTCCCTCACTTCTGTCTTGGCCGAGGCCTCATCGACATGGTGAAGAACCAGGCCATGGCCGATGCTCTGGAGAGATTTGGTAAGAACTGCATTTCCCATGAGCCATTTTTCTATGTAATTCAGCGTAGAGGTGTCTCTTGAACTTTTCTCTAAACCCACTCCTCCTGCTGTTCACAGGTGAGAACCGCTTCCGATCCCCTCTGGAGTGGGACATGGTGGGCAAGAACCTATTTGCCATGGCCGTGGAAGGAGTGGTCTTCTTCATCATCACCGTCCTTTTCCAGTACCGCTTCTGCATCAAGCCCATTAACCTGCACACCAAGCTCCCTCCGGTGGGCGAGGAGGACGAGGACGTGGCCAGAGAGAGGCAGAGGATCGTCAACGGACTGGGACAAGGAGACATCCTGGAGCTCCGACAGCTCACCAAGGTCTACAAGAGGAAGCAGAAGCCGGCTGTAGACCGTCTGTGTGTGGGCATCCCTCCTGGAGAGGTAAGATTAGATTATTTAAAACAAGTAAATACATGATGCAATGACATGCAATCTCTTTCAATCTCCTTCGGTATATTTGAAATACGGATATTTCCTCTGTTTCCTTTCTCTTTCTCTCAGTGCTTTGGCCTCCTGGGTGTGAACGGAGCTGGAAAGACCACCACCTTCAAAATGCTGACAGGAGACTCCATAGTCACCAGTGGAGAAGCATTCCTGGCTGGAAAAAGGTAAGGCAGCCATTTTGTGCCAGAGAGCTCATACTAGGTATTACAGTGGAGAGCTTCAGTAGTCTAAATGTGAGACGGACTTATTTTGCTTTGGTAGTATACTGCGGGAGATAGACGAAGTGCACCAGAACATGGGCTACTGCCCCCAGTTTGACGCCATCAACGAACTGCTGACAGGCAGAGAGCACCTGGAGTTCTACGCCATCTTGCGTGGCGTGCCCGAGAAGGAAGTGTGCGAGGTTGCTGAATGGGGCATCCGTAAACTGGGCCTAGTAAAGTATGTGGACAAGGCAGCAGGAAGCTACAGTGGAGGAAACATGAGGAAACTCTCCACGGCCATGGCCCTGATAGGAGGACCACCTGTTGTGTTCCTGGTACGTACTATGTCTCAACACACACACACACACACACACACACACACACACACACACACACACACACAGACCTACATAAATTGTAAACACACCAACACAAGGGGATCAGACCGATTGCATCAGCTTGGAGGTGACATATCAACAAAGCAACCTCCTCTTAATCAGATAACTGGTGTTTAATTGTTCTCCCGGTGGGGATTGCAGCAACGGTTGTGTAATGAGGGTTAGATTAAAACTCTCCCACTGGCACGCCACAGTGCTCTCAAAGGATTCCTGGAAAATCATAGGCTTATGTTTTGCTCCTATTGGGCTGGAGAGAGGGGCTGGCCACATTAACTGTGAGCTGGATAAAGGGAGAGAGAGACAGAAACCGAGCGAGAGACATTGCAAGAGACAGAGCAAGAGACATGGTGAGAGGGAAAGAGAAAAGAGAGAAACAAAGTCAGAGAGAAAGCAAGTTCTTAGCAGTCGCCTGTTTATAATAGCATAATGCAACACTAGAAGAGCCATAATGCCTTGCTCCCCCTGCTGCTGGTCTTCTCTGTGGGTTTCCTGCTCAACCTATGGGCCAACCTTAACCTGGCTGTGCTCTTTGTGACAGGACGAGCCCACTACTGGGATGGACCCCAAAGCACGCAGGGCCTTATGGAACTGCATCCACAGCGTCATCAAGGAGGGACGCTCCGTGGTGCTCACCTCGCACAGGTAACCAGAAACACCTTTACACCTCAGCCATGCTAGGCTAAGAGCTAACTGCTATACATTGAAATGCATGATCTTGTTGTTTTTGTTGATTGGTTGGCAACATGGCTTATGTTCGGTATAGGCTGCGGTTAGGCAAACATCATTAGCACAAATGTAGCCTATTGGCTTGTACTAGGTAGTTTACATGGTTCAAAGTATTGCTTACCCACTTACTGTGCATGATGACAATAATAGCTTTTGGAGTGTTAACTTTACTTTGACAAGTTATTAGCTTAGCAGCTTAGTTGACATAGTCTAACCTTTGCAGGGATGAGTTTTCTAGTTCAGCAATTCCTTTACACTGTATCTAATGTCTGTATCTACCATTTTGTGTCTTCAGTATGGAGGAATGTGAGGCCCTGTGCACCAGAATGGCCATCATGGTCAACGGCAGATTCCGCTGCTTGGGGAGCGTTCAGCACCTAAAGAACAGGTAATATGACAAGTCCTTTCACTGATGCATATGAAACAAGCCAATACCTACAAAGTTTGCTCTGTGGCTTTCAATACAGTAAGTTGCACAAATTATTATTGATATATTTATTGATATATTTTTGATTGTGCATTTTAGTGTATTTTTACCCCCTAATTCATCATGTTTTCATTTTTTTGTGTAAATCTAGATTTATTTGTTTATAATTCTTAACAATACTTTTTTGTATGGTTTTGTTTTGTAATCATTTGAAAGGTGCCTTACAAGCCTCAGTTTTTTTTCTCTCCTGAACTCTTTTTGTTTGCCTTTTAAACTCTCAAAAGTATAAAATAAAAAATTATTTGTTCACTTTATTTTTTTCTCTCCATCTTTTCACCTTTCCCCCGTCTCTCCAGGTTCGGAGACGGGTACACCATCATCCTGCGTGTGGCGGGGGCGGACCCTGACCTTCCGCCAGTGATTAAGTTCATTGAGAGCGAGCTGCCGGGCAGCACCCTGAAGGAGAAGCACAGGAACATGCTGCAGTACCAGCTGCCCTCCTCTCTCACCTCCCTGGCACACATCTTCAGGATCCTGGCCAAGAACAAGGACCTGCTCCGGATAGAGGACTACTCTGTGTCGCAGACCACACTGGACCAGGTAAGACGCCATCCGTCACTGGCTAAAGGCTTTGTGGTCAAAACTTGTTTTCGTTGAAGTGTGATTACTTGTGGATTACAGCACCATGCATTTTTATCTTTCTGCTTGTTCTTTTATTAGTAGACTGGACATAGCATCATGTACTGTGATAATAGCTTACACTCTCTCTTCTCTACCAGGTGTTTGTGAACTTTGCCAAGGACCAGAGTGACGATTACCACTCAAAAGACAATTCAGTTAAGCGCAAAGAGGCAGTGGTGGACATTACCCCGCTCAGCTCGCGGCAGGCTGAAGAGAAGCTAGTCGAGGAGAGGCTAAAGGAGAGCTTGGTGTGAGCAAACTGAGACCATCTTCCACCCAAAACTGGAACTTAAACCCGCAAACAGTGTTGGACTGAGTTTATGTCCCTGTATTATTACAGTAGTATTTTAATACTTGTTTTAATTCTTCAGCCAGGTGTTGCTCTTGGAAGGGCCTGGCTGGAAAGCTCAATGCAAGTCAATGCAAAGTTTCCCACTCGTGCTGAAGCGAGTTGAGGCCCGGGGGGCCCCTCATGATACTCATTAAGGAGAAAGCGTATTAAACTTGGAATATCTGCCATATTTTTATCATGTGCTTCAGCAGATGTTATGCAGTGTATATTTCAGTGGAAACTGCGTTATTTTCTACTGTGTCATTCCAATCAACTGGTTTCTACCAATGATAGGAAAATCATTCAGGGCCTGTTTATTTTGGTTTTGTTCTCTAAGACCAGAATTACATGATGAAGAATCCCAATCATTTCTGTGGCCAAGGGCTGAACTGTAGAATCAGAATTGATTATGTTCGATTTTGTTTTTAAAGATGTACCTTTTATTTATATATTATGTAAATGAATATATAAACAAGACATGTTTTAATTATGTTTGGCTAAGTACATTGTGGCATTACTGTAATCATGAATGTTCTTCCTTCTAGTTCAGTACCTTACTATGTAGTGGACTCAGCCATTTTGAAACACTCCAATTGCAGGAACTTCTAAGAACACTTTAATGTACGCTATGCAAAGAACTGTTAAAAAAAAAAAAAAAAAAAAAGTATATATATATATATATATATATATATATATATATATATATATATATATATATATAGCTTTTTTTTAAAGAAAAAACTAAAAGATTTGTTTGTGGGTTAAGACGCATTATCAACGTTTGCAATGAATACCTCAACGCAACATACCACAGTACCCTGCCAGACATAAACTGTTTGAAGGATACTTCAGTATTTTCACCACCTAACCACTAGCAGAGAACAGAAACATTCCATCCATGGGTTGATAATAGTAAATCGAGGAACATCACCATGGATACTGTAAGGGACCGCCAGTGCCGTGTCAGTTTTGAACTCCTGTCATAACATGTGACCTGTGAGCTTGTCCTGTATCGTTGCAGAGACCGGTGCAGTCAAGTGCCATTTTATTGTGAAATTAATAAAATTGTCCTTCGGGTAAAAGGACTCAGTATTTTGAAACACAAAGCTTGCCTGAAATGAGGCTAGTTCAACATTCCAAGCACTTTATTTGTGGTGTTAATTTGATTTTTTTTTTTGCGCTGGAATTTCCACAGACTGTATACAATTGTTTGTTTTGTTTTTGATCAAAAAGAAGGAGATAATCCTACCAAGAAAAGTATTTTTTTAATAGCCGTTTACGTTTTTAATGTATTGAGAAAGGCTGTGGGGATATCTGTTACTCGCCCTGTACAATACTTATTTACACAATAAAACCCAGCAAATGGTCAGTCCCGGCAAGTGTTTTCCATTTTCTTAATCTTGTGTCAACATGGCTGTAAACTTAATCGTGTCTAAAACCACATTTCAGCAGAATGTTTCATTTTGAAATAGGTCTTTATTGGTCTTAAATTTTCACATAGCCTTCTTTTGACAAAGGCTACAGAAAAGTGCATTCTAGTCCAGACAAGTATTCATGTGGAATGCACACAATGAATAAGACACAATTATCCATACCTATTAATACGGTATGGTCCTTCGTAGCTCAGTTGGTAGAGAATGGCGCTTGTAACGCCAGAGTTGTGGGTTCGATTCCCGGGACCACCCATACGCAAAACCTTTGCACTCATGACTGAGTCGCACACATGACTAAGTCGCTTTGGATAAAAGAGTCTACTAAATGGCATATATTATATTACATATAAATGTAATCCATGATTACTAACATAATACTGTTTGATTCATAGCAACTGAAAGAAGACTGCTTGAGGTAACTTATTACATGTTTAAGATTTAACAGAGGCATTTCATAACAAGCAGTTCTTTACAGCATAGAAATGCGTTTCACAAGAGCCATCTTGTTATAAGACTGAACAGTCCGCAATAGAATGACATAAACATTATTATAACCATGGTCCTAATTAAACTTGGTCCTGAGTGACCGTTATATATTGATATCAATGTAACATTCATAATTACAAGTAATTATTTGTTTGAGTGCTACTGTCATCACATTTAGATGATATGATCACCATTGGTCGATTGATTTAATAAGAAATCTCAGTCACATTTTATAACCTCTACTTAGGTCTATCAACTGTGTAAGGCACATATCAGATTGACAGCATATTAGATGCAGTTGAGGTTTAGTCCCTTCAATCCTGGGTTTCAGTGTGAGATCACTTGAGGGGAGAGTAAGGGCAGGGGAACATGAGTTTGTTCGTCTGCGACTCCAGATAGGTCACACTCTCCCTCACTGTGGGGAGAGAGCGCATGAGAGAGAGAGAGAGAGAGATTTAGAAGAGTGCATATAGAAACTAAAATGTGAATAGAGCTGGCAAAATTCCCTTTTCTTCTTGGATAAATTGAAAGGTTTACCGGCTGCCACCACCCTGGCATCCCCATGGGCTTTGTGGCGTACTGCTGCCCGCTGGTCCGGACTCTCATACCACCACAGGGCATTGGCTGGCAAACACAAGGAGAAATCACAGTCTGCCTCACACTACTGCATTCATATTATAATCTTATAGTGTTACCCATGTATTAGATCATTCCATCCTGATAATCATTGACCCGATTGTTACTGTACCTTTGTTGAGCTGTCCAAACTCGCTGTGAAAGACCCCTACCAGGTGGGCGTGTCCCCCGGCAGCGTAGGTATTGACTGCAGCCTGGAAGGCCTCCCCCCACACTGCTGGACCCCCTGGCCTCATCTGGAACGATGCCAACTCATATACCCCTGAAACACACACACATACAGTGGGGGAAAAAAATATTTAGTCAGCCACCAATTGTGCAAGTTCTCCCACTTAAAAAGAAGAGAGGCCTGTAATTTTCATCATAGGTACACGTCAACTATGAAAGACAAAATGAGGGGAAAAAAATCCAGAAAAATCACATTGTAGGATTTGTAATAAATTTATTTGCAAATTATGGTGGAAAATAAGTATTTGGTCAATAACAAAAGTTTCTCAATACTTTGTTATATACCCTTTGTTGGCAAGGACACAGGTCAAACGTTTTCTGTAAGTCTTCACAAGGTTTTCACACACTGTTGCTGGTATTTTGGCCCATTCCTCCATGCAGATCTCCTCTAGAGCAGTGATGTTTTGGGGCTGTCGCTGGGCAACACGGACTTTCAACTCCCTCCAAAGATTTTCTATGGGGTTGAGATCTGGAGACTGGCTAGGCCACTCCAGGACCTTGAAATGCTTCTTACGAAGCCACTCCTTCGTTGCCCGGGCGGTGTGTTTGGGATCATTGTCATGCTGAAAGACCCAGCCACGTTTCATCTTCAATGCCCTTGCTGATGGAAGGAGGTTTTCACTCAAAATCTCACGATACATGGCCCCATTCATTCTTTCCTTTACACGGATCAGTCGTCCTGGTCCCTTTGCAGAAAAACAGCCCCAAAGCATGATGTTTCCACCCCCATGCTTCACAGTAGGTATGGTGTTCTTTGGATGCAACTCAGCATTCTTTGTCCTCCAAACACGACGAGTTGAGTTTTTACCAAAAAGTTATATTTTGGTTTCATCTGACATTCTCCCAATCCTCTTCTGGATCATCCAAATGCACTCTAGCAAACTTCAGACGGGCCTGGACATGTACTGGCTTAAGCAGGGGGACACGTCTGGCACTGCAGGATTTGAGTCCTTGGCGGCGTAGTGTGTTACTGATGGTAGGCTGTGTTACTTTGGTCCCAGCTCTCTGCAGGTCATTCACTAGGTCCCCCTGTGTGGTTCTGGGATTTTTTTCTCACCGTTCTTGTGATCATTTTGACCCCACGGGGTGAGATCTTGCGTGGAGCCCCAGATCGAGGGAGATTATCAGTGGTCTTGTATGTCTTCCATTTCCTAATAATTGCTCCCACAGTTGATTTCTTCAAACCAAGCTGCTTACCTATTGCAGATTCAATCTTCCCAGCCTGGTGCAGGTCTACAATTTTGTTTCTGGTGTCCTTTGACAGCTCTTTGGTCTTGGCCATAGTGGAGTTTGGAGTGTGACTGTTTGAGGTTGTGGACAGGTGTCTTTTATACTGATAACAAGTTCAAACAGGTGCCATTAATACAGGTAACGAGTGGAGTACAGAGGAGCCTCTTAAAGAAGAAGTTACAGGTCTGTGAGAGCCAGAAATCTTGCTTGTTTGTAGGTGACCAAATACTTATTTTCCACCATAATTTGCAAATAAATTCATTAAAAAATCCTACAATGTGATTTTCTGGAGACGTGTACCTATGATGAAAATTACAGGCCTCTCTCATCTTTTTAAGTGGGAGAACTTGCACAATTGGTGGCTGACTAAACACTTTTTTTCCCCCACTGTACCTAACACCCTTAATAATATGCAACATATCCAACTATTATAATTTCCTAAACCAACCCCTAGCCTCTACAACTGCTTTAAATCTATCTTAGTGGTTTGGCAGAACACTTTTATTCCAGAGCAGTTTACTGAGATCATTCAACTGCTGAGGGTGATGCAACACAGCACTACAGATCCCCAATTTACATTTTAATCAGTAAGCAGACGCTCTTATCCAGAGCGACTTACAGGCGCAATTAGGTTTAAGTGCCTTGCTCAATGGCACATTGACAGATTAGTCACCTAGGGGATTCGTAGCAGCAACCTTTTGGTTACTTGCCCAACGCTCTTAGCCGCTAGGCTACCTGCCACCACCTCTTTTGGGTAAACAGGGCTGATTTCATTTCCTGCAAAAAACACAAAAGGTGCTGTCCAGTACTTACGAGGAATATGAATGAATATAACTCCTCTAAAAAAACAGTTATGTTGTTTACTAAATGAGTGCTAGATTAGTGAGGTCCAAGGAAATTAACACAAAAGGACAATGCACACGCACAAACAAAGGGAGAAGTTCTGTTGATTTCTGTCTAGGGACAACTAAACTCTATCAGTGTCAGACGAGAGGGTAATTATTTCACTCAGCTACTCACCACCTTCCTTGGGAGGCCTTTCCACCTTGCTCCAGGGCACCAGATACGTGACCTCGTTGTCCTGAGACATGAGCATGGGCATGGCCTTGGAGATGTACTCCTCAATCCATTTGGGGTCCTGAGCCAAGGATGCGCGCACACCCGCCCGCTGAGCATAGCTGTCTAGATAGCAACACAACAACAGGAGAGACAGTGAGATATACTGAAGATACAATGGCTTATTTTACATTGGAGTTCTCTGGGCTTGAGTTTGTGTAGGTTCCCTTACAGTCAATTTAGGATTCAGAAATTCAAACTTGAGTGCTTGCTTATTGTAGGTGAAATTCAATTCCTTTAAACTTTTGAAGTCGGAAGTTTACATACACTTAGGTTGGAGTCATTAAAACTCGTTTTTCAACCACTCCACACATTTCTTGTTAACAAACTATAGTTTGGCAAGTCGTTAGGACATCTACTTTGTGCATGACACAAGTAATTTTTCCAACAATTGTTTACAGACAGATAATTTCACTGTATCACAATTGCAGTGGGTCAGAAGTTTACATACACTAAGTTGACAGTGCCTTTAAACAGCTTGGAAAATTCCAGAAAATGATGTCATGGCTTTAGATGCTTCTGATAGGCTAATTGACATCATTTGAGTCAATTGGAGGTGTACCTGTGGATGTATTTCAAGGCCTACCTTCACACTCAGTGCCTCTTTGCTTGACATCATGGAAAAATCAAAAGAAATCAGCCAAAAATGGTTGACCTCCACAAGTCTGGTTCATCCTTGGGAGCAATTTCCAAACGCCTGAAGGTACCACGTTCATCTGTACAAACAATAGTACGCAAGTATAAACACCATGGGACCACGCAGCCATCATACCACTCAGGAAGGTGACACATTATGTCTCCTAGAGATGAACGTACTTTGGTGCGTAAAGTGCAAATCAATCCCAGAACAACAGCAAAGGACTTTGTGAAGATGCTGGAGGAAACAGGTACAAAAGTATCTATATCCACAGTAAATCGAGTCCTATATCGACATAACCTGAAAGGCCCCTCAGCAAGGAAGAAACCAATGCTCCAAAACCGCCATAAAAAAGCCAGACTACGGTTTGCAACTGCACATGGGGACAAAGATTTTACTTTTTGGAGAAATGTCCTCTGGTCTGATGAAACAAAAATAAAACTGTTTGGCCATAATGACCATCGTTGTGTTTGGAGGAAAAAGGGAAAGGCTTGCAAGCCGAAGAACACCATCCCAACCGTGAAGCACGGGGGTGGCAGCATCATGCTGTGGGGGTGCTTTGCTGCAGGAGGGACTGGTGCACTTCACAAAATAGATGGCATCATGAGGAATGAAAATTATGTGGATATATTGAAGCAACATCTCAAGACATCAGTCAGGAAGTTAAAGCTTGGTCGCAAATGGGTCTTCCAAATGGACAATGACCCCAAGCATACTTCCAAAGTTGTGGCAAAAATTCACCCAACTTATTGTGGGAAGCTTGTGGAAGCCTACCCGAAACGTTTGACCCAAGTTAAACAATTTAAAGGCAATGCTACCAAATACTAATTGAGTGTATGTAAACTTCTGACCCACTGGAAATGTGATGAAATAAATCATTCTCTCTACTATTATTCTGACATTTCACATTCTTGAAATAAAGTGGTGATCCTAACTGACTTAAGACAGGGAATTTTTACTAGGATTAAATGTCAGGAATTGTAAAAAAAAAAAACTGAGTTTAAATGTATTTGGCTAAGGTGTATGTAAACTTCCGACTTCAACTGTACAATTTCAATGTACAGTATTTCCTGAGTTGACTGAATTCCACATGGAACTGGCCAAAAAGCCCTAGCTTGCTCTCTGCCTCCTCCTCACCATACTTCCAGATATGGAAGACCTGGTTCAAGCCTCCGTACTCCACGCTCCAGTAGCCCAGGAGCTCTGAGTGAGCAGTACGCAGGTGGATCTTCTCATTGGTCAGCTTGAGGAAGGCAGCGTTCTTCTCTGGCAGGATTCTGTAGGTACGGAATTCATAGAAGGTCCCATTTTGCTGCTGGGGCCCAGTGGAAATACAGTCTCTAGGCTGAAAGGAGAGAAGTACAGTCACTGCTGACACCCTGTAGCCAATGTGGATTTTATATGCAATCAATGGTAACTGAATTTAGCTGAGACAGATTTATCACATTAAAATGTATACCGAACAAAAACTGTTGATTTCAAAGTTTAACAAACCATAGAACTCTTTGCACAGGGACTACTTTGAACAATTTCCACTGAACATTTTACAAAAACACATTTACAGGAAGAACTGTGCATATCCAAAGTTTAGTAACAGAATAAAACCGAGGGAGATTTTACAGTAAATCTGTTAACAGACTTTGCATCTGCAGTTTTTCCAGTAAATGTATTTTTTTTTAATGTACTGTGTACTGTAAACTGTTCAAGGTAGTCATTGTGTATAGTATGGCTTGTTAAACTTTGAAATCAATGGTTTTTGTTTGGCATACATTTTAAAGTAAAAAATTGGAGTCTCTGCATAATTCCGTTAGCATGGAATTGACCATTACTGACAGCATGAAATTCTAATACCATATTATATGTATTCTAATTTATCTCTTCATTTCATGTTTTTTGCTTGAGGGACCCAGCTGGATACTTCATTCAATTCACGAGACAGTCTCATAACTTAAACAATGTGGTTTTAGTCAAACCTGCTGTGTTGTCTTTCCACTATTTATCACGTTAAGTTAAATCTTTAACTAATTGCCTACTCATATGAGCACAAAACTATTCTGGGCCCGGTTTCCCGATAGCGATGGAATTTAGGTTTACCAGTGTTTTATTGATGCATCTTTGCTACAAAAATTCTAATTCTAAAATTCTGAAATTCTAATACCATATTATATGTATTCAATGTAAATAGTCCAGGTGGCCATTTGATTAATTGTTCAGCAGTCTTATGGCTTGGGGGTAGAAGCTGTTAAGGAGCCTTTTGGTCCTAGACTTGGCGCTCCGGTACCGCTTGCCGTGCGGTAGCAGAGAGAGCAGTCTATGACTTGGGTGACTGGAGTCTTTGACAATTTTTTGGGCCTTCCTCTGACAGCGCCTAGTATATAGGTTCTGAATGGCAGGAAGCTTGGCCCAAGTGATGTTCTGGGCCGTACGCACTACCCTCTGTAGCGCCTTACGGTCAGATGCCGAGCATTTGCCATACCAGGCGGTGATGCAACCGGTCAGGATGCTCTCGATGGTGCAGCTGTAAAACTTTGAGGATCTGGGGACCTATGCCAAATCTTTTCAGTCTCCTGAGGGGGAAAAGGTGTTGTCGTGCCCTCTTCACGACTGTCTTGGTGTGTTTGGACCATGATAGTTTGTGGTGATGTGGACACCAAGGAACTTGAAACCCTCAACCCTCTCCACTACAGCCCAGTCGATGTTAATGGGGGCGTGTTCGGCCCGCCTTTTCCTGTAGTCCACGATCAGCTCCTTTGTCTTACTCACATTGAGGGAGAGGTTGTTGTCCTGGCACCACACTGCCAGGTCTCTGACCTCCTCCCTATAGGCTATCAGGCCTACCACTGTTGTGTCATCAGCAAACTTAATGATGGTGTTGGAGTCGTGTTTGGCCATGCAGTCGTGGGTGAACAGGGAGTACAGGAGGGGACTAAGCACACACCCCTGAGGGGCCAAAGTGTTGAGGATCAGCGTGGCAGACGTGTTGTTGCCTACCCTTACCACCTGGGACGGCCCGTCAGGAAGTCCAGGATCCAGTTGCAGAGGGAGGTGTTTAGTCCCAGGGTCCTTAGCTTAGTGATGAGCTTTGTGGGCACTATGGCATTGAACGCTGAGCTGTAGTCAATGAACAGCATTTTCACATAGGTGTTCCTTTTGTCCAGTTGGGAAAGGGCAGTGTGGAGTGCGATTGAGATTGCGTCATCTGTGGATCTGTTGGGGCGGTATGCAAATTGGAGTGGGTCTAGGGTTTCCGGGATGATGGTATTGATATGAGCCATGACCAGACTTTCAAAGCACTTCATGGCTACCGACGTGAGTGCTACGGGGCGGTAATCATTTAGGCAGGTTACCTTCGCTTCCTTGGGCACAGGGACTATGGTGGTCTGCTTGAAACATAGGTATTACAGACTCCGTCAGGGAGAGGTTGAAAATGTCAGTGAAGACATTTGGTCCGCCCATGCTTTGAGTACACGTCCTGGTAATCCCCATGGCTTTGTGAATGTTAACCTGTTAAAGGTCTTGCTCACATCGGCTACCGAGAGCGTGATCACACAGTCTTCCGGAACAGCTGGTGCTCTCATGCATGCTTCAGTGTTGCTTGCCTCGATGCGAACAAAAAAGGCATTTAGCTCATCTGGTAGGCTTGCGTCACTGGGCAGCTCGTGGCTGGGTTTCCCTTTGTAGTCCGTAATAGTTTTCAAGCCCTGCCACATCTGACGAGCGTCAGAACCGGTGTAGTAGGATTAAATCTTTATCCTGTATTGATGCTTTGCCTGTCTAATGGTTTGTCTGAGGGCGTAGCGGGATTTCTTATAAACATCTGGATTAGTGTCCCGCTCCTTGAAAGCGGGAGTTCTAGCCTTTAGCTCGATGAGGATGTTGCCTGTAATCCATGGTTTCTGGTTGGGATATGTATGTATGGTCACTGTGGGGACGACGTCGTCGATACACTTATTGATGAACCCGGTGACTGAGGTGGTATCCTCCTCAATGCCATTGGATGAATCCCGGAAAATATTCCAGTCTGTGCTAGCAAAACAGTCCTGTAGCGTAGCATCCGCGTCATCTGACCACTTCTGTATTGAACGAGTCACTGGTACTTCCTGCTTTAGTTTTTGCTTGTAAGCAGGTATCAGGAGGATATAATTATGGTCAGATTTGCCAAATGGAGGGCGAGGGAGAGCTTCGTATGCGTCTCTGTGTGTGAAGTAAAGGTGGTCTAGAGATTTTTTTCCTCTGGTTGCACATTATACATGCTGGTAGAAATGAGGTAAAACGGATTTAAGTTTGCCTTCATTAAAGTCCCCAGCCACAAGGAGCACCGTTTCTGGATGAGCATTTTCTTGTTTGCTTATGGCCTTATACAGCTTGTTCAGTGCGGTCTTAGTGCCAGCATCGATTTGTGGTGGTAAATAGATGGCTACTAATAATATAGATGAGAACTCCCAACAAAGTGAAGTTAGGATATATAAGTTATCCTGTACGAGCTTATGTGCCGAATACATTACGGCGTTACAGGTGTCAAACTTATGGGCATGTGGCAGCAGTGTGTAGGAGGGAGGTTCCAAGGTTTGAGAAGTGTGCAGAAGGGCATGAGACAAAGCAATGTGTAGCATTGGGGAAAGTAGTGGTATGTGTTAATTGTAGGGGTACCCATGGGGCTGGGGATCAGAAATGTTCCGTGCAAGAGAGGCAGGTTGAGGTTTCCAGGGTAAGAGTAGTGCAGAAGTTGTCCTATGCTGAGGCAGTGAAGAAAGTAGAGGAAGATCGGTCAAGGGGGAGGAGTGGTGAGAGTAGTAGATATGTACCAGTACAGAGGGATAGGCCAACAAGTTATATATGTTTCAGTAAGATTAGATTTTTAACATTTATAGCAATGGTTATTAATTGTACTGCAGGGATGGAACGTAAGCCAAAGAAAATTGAGGTTGTGGTGGCAGCTGCAGAGAGGTATTTGGGTGTGCGAGACTTGACATCAGAAGAGTTACAGGGTGTGTTAAGTGGTGATGTCCCATCCTTTCAGGTTGAGGGCATGAGGTAGGAATACATATATTTAAATAGTGGAGTAGGGTGTTGTTAATTTAATTTAATTAATTTGTGAGGGTATTGTTAGATGGTAGGGTATTTCTTTATTTTATTTTATTTTCAAACAAAATATAAGGGAGTTACTCCAGTCTAGTAGGTGGCGGTAATGCAACATATTGGATGCCAACCGCCGTTAAACCTCATCGAAGAAGAATAGATGAGAACTGTCTTGGTCGATAGAGTACCTCATGATTAGCTGTAGACGACACTATCTAAGGCGAGCAATACCTCGAGACTTATTTAATATATGTATTTCAATATGATTTAAATAGGCTTACTGTTTATATTTTAATGCAGTGATCTCGGGTTTCATTTTAAGCATATTTTTATACTTCGCTTGTTTGTATCAATTGTAAAGACATTGGTAACTTTGTATTTGTAGTCAACTTTGTTCTGAAGTTATCCGCGGTCACAGCGGAGATCTTCTGTGGAGCCTATAGGCCTAAAGTGACGCGGGAGGGCAAAAAAGCATCTACGAACCACTTAGCTGTTCTACGAGTGGGCAAAAGTTAGACTACGAGCGTTTTCAAGTGCAACGTTAATAACGATGGTTTTGGGAAACAGCTCGGAGATTTAACGATGCACCGGAAGGTTCTAACGATGAACATAGCCTTAAGATGCTTTTGGAAAAACCGGGCCCTAGCCTTTTGGAATCAGTTTGCTATCGAACCTTTCGTTCAGTTTGGTCCAAAGGTCTGTAGTACAGTGGAGTTTGACTTCTCCCTAGCACGCCAGTCTAAAATGTCTGCAGTGTGCATACATTATATTGCATACTCGTACTCTGTTGCTTCAAAAATCTAAGACAATATTACCTTAATATGCAAAGTCACACTGTATGCTATAGGTCCATGGTAAATAAAACATGTAAAATGCATGACATTTTCACATGGAATGACTTAATGAAGTTAAGGCAATTATGACAACCTACGTAAAATGAATAATAGCGCCGTATGCCGGTCGGTTGGGCTACATACGCCAGAGGGCAAGTCTCTTGCTTCTCTCTCTTAATTGCCAAGATTTCGTAATACCACGCACATCTTGCAAAAAGCGTTTGCATAAATGAAAACTGAAACTCACATTGACTTTTGTCAAACCTGATGACTGTTACTAAGTTACAAACGTGAACTTTTAAAATATAACAATGTGAACAAACAATCAACTTGCATTGGAATTTGCCCTCATCGCACTGTCAAAGTAGACCAAATTATAATAGTCCAAACTTACCACCACGTCACCATTTTTCCAACAAATATTTTCTATAAGCCTTGACGATCTGCGAAACGAATTTCTTACTGTAAACATTTCGCTTGGAAGTCTTTAACACTAGTGTTACAAAAAGTATCCAAGAGCACCGTGCGAGTTCCTCAGAGAGGATGGCGAAGCGAGAGGTTTCACACTCGTCCAAATCTGTACAAGATAATTAATTTATGTGGGTTTATTTTGGACCTAAACTCGTTCGCCTGCCTTTGCGACAACGACTCCCATTGTTGGTGGGAGACATGAGCATCTCGTCATTATATACAGATCTCTGGTTCCGTAAAACGTTTATGTGTTGACGGAGAGGAAGAGGCGAAGCGAGAGGATTTACTCCGCCCGATAAGTATTTACTCTGCCCTTTTTTGTATGGAAGTCTATGAGAGTGTGTCGAATTAAGTGAGGCTTATTTGATCGAATAGAAGTTTGGTAATGTTTAGGCTGCTACACAAATGCACTGATATAAGTGGATGCACGTAGCATTCCGGCGGCTTTGAGAAAAGCGACTTAGTTATGCCTGTTGTTCACACGCGTATCTGCCCTCTCATTGGCTAGAGTGGTCCCACCTGATCTCACTTGCCTTCGCTCAATTGTGGACATGTCTTTCCATTGTTAGAGCGGTCACTCGGCTTTCTTGTCAATATAATAGATAATCTTTGGCGTTGTGCAAATTGTTGACTACGGAAACCGAGAGAAGCTCAAATTTAGAGATCCGTGAAAAAAAACATAATCCTTTAATCTACATTTCCGATCTCAGTGATGGGAGAAGATAAAATATGATTTGGTAACATATAGTAAGAATGAAAAATTGCATTTATATCCACACTTGGGTGAGTTCAAATATTATGAATAATAATAAATAAAGTAAAACAATAAAAGTATAATTTACTATTCCTAGTCTGAATAGTTAATTCAACCAGATTAATGGGCCTCCTGTAGCTCAATTGGTAGAGCATGGCGCTTGCAACGCCAGGGTTGTGGGTTCGTTTCCCTCGGGGGAACAGTATGAAAAAAAAAAAGTATGAAAAATGTATGCACTCACTAACTGCAAGTCGCTCTGGATAAGAGCGTCTGCTAAATGGCTAAAATGTAAAAATTAAGACCACCCCCTCTAGAGTCTGTTTCCTCTCAAGCTTTCTTCCTTCCTGTCACTAATTTTAGGATTTATGTCCATATTGTATTAACACTTCTGTGACAAAAGCATTACATTTGATTGACTGCATATAGTAGAAATCATGTGTTCCTTCAAAATGAAAAATAATTCTGGGAATGAGAGCTGCATTAGCACAAAGACAAAGGGCTTGTTCTACGTTGCAGCCGACAGTGCAGGCGACTGCCGACTGACCGAGCTACATATCAACTTGCATCATAAATAACTACTCATTATTATTTGTAGATCAGTCAGTCACCATTTACCAATAATGCATCATGGATTTGATGCTCTCGAACACGGCCAATATAAGTAGGCCAACTATAGGCCTAATAAAACTAAATTAGCCTACCATACAGGTGAAAACAAGACCAGGTCATATTGTTGTGGGGACCAAAATATTACAAATTCGGTAAATATCAGTGAACTGTCTTTAATTCAGTGCTAAAAAAACGTGTTACATAGCAAGGTTTGATAGTTGCTCTTGGTCAAGATGTATGCATTTCATCATCAACACCAGTGTCACATGAACATGATTGGGAAAACTATTTTGCTAGTATGTCTGGCTGTCTTCTTTTCTGCAGGTAAATACATGAATAATTTAAATGAATAAAATGTCTGACTATTCTGTACATAATTCATAATTAATTTCCATTTAGGAACGGTAGTTTGTCAAAACATGACAGATTGTACTGTCCATTGTACTGTTCATTAGCAGTTATGATAATAAATGCTAGGTAGTAAAGAATAAAAGGTTAAATTCTACTTGTGTGTGGTTTAGATGTTGCATTACCAGACGCAGCGGACCGATCCAGACTCTACAGGAGGGTGAGGATTCCATTCAAATATTATCATTACAGTTCTCTATACTAAAAAAAATGTAATGTGGCAACTACACATTAATTCATGAGAATGTCCATGCATGACTATAGAAAACCAGGGTTGGTTTATTCTTCCAGGTGGCAATAATTAATTATACTGAAATGTTTCCTCTCTAATTGTTTGGGTGTGCTGCTTATCTCTGTAGCACCCCCAGCGTCATCCACGCACGGTTGTACATTTTGTTATAGCCAGCAAGCACTGTGTCGTACTACAGTAGCCTGGTTGCAGGATCTGTACAACGAGATCTGGCGACTAGGCCAGTGATTTTCCACCCCGCCTATGAAAAAATATCTATAGGAAACACAGAATTACCACAGAATTAGTCCACTGGAGAAGCTTTATAAGAGACGTTTTGCTTGCTTAAAAACATCTTACTGGCTGTCTCTCTCTCTCTCTCTCTCTCTCAAGGGAAACCAATGCAGACATCTTGATAGTGAAAGACGGAAGTTGCTGAAGAGTAGCCTACTCAGGTACAGATGGTTCTGCTGTGAATGTGATAATATTATCACATTTATTTTTGATTATTTCTGTGATTGTTAGAATAGATTGTAGAAGTTGTTTTTTATGGAACACTCATGCACAGTACACACACACGCATATATACTCATTTTATATAATCATATTGATTTGTATTAAATCTTAACACTAGCTTTGTAAAGAATACATCGATTTTTCAGTCTCAGCACCTGTGGAATATTTTATAATTAAAGGTCCAGATTATCCTTATTATGTCCACATGGTTTGTTTATTTGTTTGTGTTATATTCCAATCAACATACTACGTGAATAATGACATGAAAATATTAAAATGCACAAGATATTAGACATACAGTACATTTAAGTCACATTCTTGGTAGTAGTAACCACATGGGTGAGCTACAACAAGTATACTTCCGTTTTTGCTCTTCCTCGGTTTCCTGTGTCACATTTATTGTTTCCCCCATCAGAAGTGCACATTTACAGACATGCTGAGTTGTTTCAAAGATAAAGTTGGTGATGTTTTATTACCAGGAGATGTATTTTCTTTTCAAATGCCTGAAAGTATCACTGACAGCAAACCCGAGAAAGTCGTTTGTGGACCAGGGCTTCGGCGAAACGGAGATGAAGTTCTCGTTTGCAAAAGCGGAATCCTCCGACATAAACAACCGAATCTGTACTGGATAGACTCTCAGCAAAGGCGGGTATGTATCTATGTAATGACTAATAAATAGCTACCTACCTAGATAGCTAGCTATATTATACAGGTTCTGATTCATTACATGCTTTTGAAGAAGAAATACACGATGCGTTGATAACCACGTGGTTTACAAAGAAAGGTGCATGCCCATGATGTTTCTGAAGAGGTTGGCTACTGTATCTAGTTAGCTACCATCTTTGTCACAGTAAACGGCCAATTCACAACCCCAATACAAATATGGTCTTGGCAGGAATGAGGTAAAAAGGTTGGGGAAAATGGATGGCATGCATGAACATGTTGCACTCTAGTACCAGACTTGGTCTTCCCAAGGGACATATCAGGTGATTGTCACCTGCACAGTCCTTCTCAAGTAAGTTATGGGCTCACTGCTTATTTTCTCCCCCCCAGTATGTTCCAGGGAAGGGAGAGAGTGTGATTGGCATCATAACTGCCAAGTCAGGTGACATCTTCAAGGTGGATGTAGGGGGGAGTGAGCAGGCATCACTCTCCTACCTGGCCTTTGAGGGGGCTACCAAGAGGAATAGACCTAATGTGCAGGTCAGTATTGTCACAAGCACCTCTTTATTCTTCCAGGTGGCATGAGCCTTTACCTTAAAGGAGTAGTTCACTATTTTACAACTTGATGTTAGATGGTTCCTCACCCTAAAAAGTGGGCCAAGAGAAAATGTAATCCGGGGTTCCGTTTTCTTTAAACAGCCACTACAAACTTCAGCTAACAAGCTAACAATCAATGGAAGGCATGTGAACATGTAAAAAAAAACATTCAACTCCATATTTGGTTTGATGTTACTTAATGGTGATTTGGCTAAAAATAAAAATACATGCTCACATACCCCCTTCAATTCCATTGATTGTTTGTTTGTGGTGGCTAAAGTTAGCTGAAGTTTGTAGTGGCGGTTTAAAGAACTGAAACATGGATTACAGTTTCTCCTGGCCCATAGACTACTTTCAGGGAGAGGAACCATCAAACATCAAGTTGTAAAATAGTGAACGACTCCTTTAAACAACACGTCTTTCAATTTAAAGTTTGATGGCACTAGTCTTTCTCAATTTTCTTTCTGTGGTGCCATTGCAGGTGGGGGACCTGGTGTACTCCCAGTTCATCATTGCCAACAAAGACATGGAGCCGGAGCTGGTGTGTATAGACAGCTGTGGACGAGCCAACGGGATGGGGGTGTTTGGAGCAGGGGGGCTTCTCTTCAAGGTGTCCCTGGGACTTGTACGCAGGTATGTCACAAGACTAAAACTAGTCTATGGTCATTTAGCAAGTGTTATTCAAAACAGCCTTACAGTTAACAAACATATTCAGCATAAAACCTACATTCTACAGAAGTACACTACCGGTCAAAAGTTTTAGAACACCTACTCATTCAAGGGTTTTTCTTTATTTGTACTATTTTTTTACATTGTAGAATAAAAGTGAAGACATCAAAACTGTGAAATAACACAAATGGTATCATGTAGTAACCAAAAAAGTGTTAAACAAATCAAAATATATTTTATATTTGAGATTCTTCAAATAACCACCCTTTGCCTTGATGGCAGTTTTACGCACTTTTCCAACAGTCTTGAAGGAGTTCCCACATATGCTGAGCACTTGTTGGCTGCTTTTCCTTCACTCTGCGGTCCGACTCATCCCAAACCATCTCAATTTGGTTGAGGTTGGGGGATTGTGGAGGCCAGGTCATCTGATGCAGCACTCCATCACTCTCTTTCTTGGTCAAATAGCCCTTACACAGCCTGGAGGTGTGTTGGGTCATTGTCCTGTTGAAAAACAAACGATAGTCCCACTAAGCCCAAACCAGATGGGATGGCGTATCGCTGCAGAATGCTGTGGTAGCCATGCTGGTTAAGTGTGCCTTGAATTCTAAATAAATCACAGACCGTGTCACCAGCAAAGCACCCCCACACCATAACACCACCTCCTCCATACTTTACGGTGGGAAATACACATGCGGAGATCATCCGTTCACCCACACCGCGTCTCACAAAGTCACACGGCAGTTGGAACCAAAAATCTCAAATTTGGTCTCCAGACCAAAGGACACATTTCCACCGGTCTAATGTCCATTGCTCGTGTTTCTAGGCCCAAACAAGTCTCTTCTTCTTATTGGTGTCCTTTAGTAGTGGTTTCTTTGCAGCAATTCGACCATGAAGGCCTGATTCACACCGTCCCCTCTGAACAGTTGATGTTGAGATGTGTCTGTGACTTGAACTCTGTGAAGCATTTATTTGGGCTGCAATTTCTGAGGCTGGTAACTAATGAACTTATCCTCTGCAGCAGAGGTAACTCTGGGTCTTCCATTCCTGTGGCGGTCCTCACGAGAGCCAGTTTCATCATCGTGCTTGATGGTTTTTGCGACTGCACTTGAAGAAACTTTCAAATTTCTTGAAATGTTCCATATTGACTGACCCTCATGTCTTAAAGTAATGATGGACTGTCGTTTCTCTTTGCTTATTTGAGCTGTTCTTGCCATAATATGGACTTGGTATTTTACTAAATAGGGCTATCTTCTGTATACACCCCCTACCTTGTCACAACACAACTGATTGGCTCAAACACATTACGAAGGAAAGAAATTCCACAAATTAACTTTTAAGAAGGCACACCTGTTAATTGAAATGCATTCCAGGTGACTACCTCATGAAGCTGGTTGAGAGAATGCCAAGAGTGTGCAAAGCTGTCATCAAGGCAAAGGGTGGCTATTTGAAGAATCTCAATTATAAAATATATTTTGATTTGTTTAACACTTTTTTGATTACTACATGATTCCATGTGTCATTTCATAGTTTTGATGTCTTCACTATTATTCTACAATGTAGAAAATAGTATAAATTTTTTTAAGAAAAACCCTTGAATGAGTAGATATTCTAAAACTTTTAACCGGTAGTGTATGTCTGTTCTACATTTTACAAATCTATCTAAACATTCTGTAATGTTGCACCACTGAACACGACCCTGGTTCTGAATAGTAACTGTCCTCTCTATCCAGGCTGCTAGCGCCCCAGAGTGAAATAGCCAAGGACCTGGAGAAAATGTTCCCCTTTGAAATTGTGGTGGGGATGAATGGGCGGGTGTGGGTCAAGGCCAAGACCATCCAGCAGACCCTCATCGTGGCCAACTTGCTGGAGAGCTGTGAGAACATGACGGCCCAGCAGCGGCAGACGCTCTTCAGAAGGGTGGCCGATGGATCCATCTAGGCTAGGGGACCACTCTGCTCCGGAGAAGGATGTTCGAGAACTGTCTGAATTAGTGGGGTTTGTCTCAATCATTTGAAGGCAAGGAGGCATTGGTGTGGTCATCCTCCTTTCCTTGTCTCCTCTACTCTGACTACTGAGCTAAAAGGACCCGATTGATGAATGCAGTGGAGTTGAAACTTATCAAGTCAAAGGGGATTTTGACCCCAGTGTGTTTGCGCTGTGTGAACAATCACTTATTCTGATATTTTTTACATCTTGTGTACCCGTGAGTAAGGACAGTGGCCTTTTGTTTGTCAACTCTTTATTTTTTGAGAAATAAATAATGAATCTGTGTTGATTGAAAACCAAAAAAGCAGTGTTCATGTTCAAACCAGTCCACAAGGGGGCACAACTTTCATTTGCTAGCTGTCATCTGCTGGCAAGAAGTGAGACTCGATTGATGACTGTATGCAGGAAAAAACCTCCCATACTGTGTGGGAGGGGTAAATAACAGATCACAGATGACATTGAGCAGGACCTATTCAAGGAAGAGTGACTAATTAACTCACACACCCACCCTCATTAAGCTTGTGTACATACAGTTGAAGTCGGAACCTTACATACACTTAGGATGGAGTCATTAAAACTCGTTTTTCAACCACTCCACACATTTCTTGTTAACAAACTATAGTTTTGGCAAGTTGGTTAGGACATCTACTTTGTGCATGACAAGTAATTTTTCCAACAATTGTTTACAGACAGATTATTTCACTTATAATTCACTGTATCATAATTGCAGTGGGTCAGAAGTTTACATACACTAAGTTGACTGTGCCTTTAAACAGCTTGAAAAATTCCAGAAAATGATGTCATGGCTTTAGAAGCTTCTGATAGGTTAATTGACATCATTTGAGTCAATTGGAGCTGTACCTGTGGATGTATTTCAAGGCCTACCTTCAAACTCAGTGCCTCTTTGCTTGACATCATGGGAAAATCAAAATAAATAAGCCAAGACCTCAGAAAATTGTTGACCTCCACAAGTCTGGTTCATCCTTGGGAGCAATTTCCAAACGCCTGAAGGTACCACGTTCATCTGTACAAACAATAGTACGCAAGTATAAACACCATGGGACCACGCAGCCGTCATACCGCTCAGGAAGGAGACGCGTTCTGTCTCCTAGAGATGAACGTACTTTGGTGCGAAAAATGCAAATCAATCCCAGAACAACAGCAAAGGACCTTGTGAAGATGCTGGTAAGTAAAACGAGTCCTATATCGACATAACCTGAAAGGCCGCTCAGCAAGGAAGAAGACACTGCTCCGAAACCGCCATAAAAAATCAAGACTATGGTTTGCAACTGCACATGGGGACAAAGATTGTACTTTTTGGAGAAATGTCCTCTGGTCTGATGAAACAAAAATAGAACTGTTTGGCCATAATGACCATCGTTATGTTTGGAGGAAAAAGGGGGTGGCTTGCAAGCCGAACAACACCATCCCAACCATGAAGCACAGGGTTGGCAGCATCATTCTGTGGGGGTGCTTTGCTGCAGGAGGGACTGGTGAACTTCACAAAATAGATGGCATCATGAGGAAGGAATATTATGTGGATATATTGAAGCAACATCTCAACATTTGACATTTTAGTAATTTAGCAGACGCTCTTATCCAGAGCAACTTACAGTTAGTGAGTGCATACATTTTTCATACTCAAGACATCAGTCAGGAAGTTAATGCTTGGTCGCAAATGCGTCTTCCAAATGGACAATGACCCTAAGCATACTTCCAAAGTTGTGGCAATATGGCAACAAAGTCAAGATATTGGAGTGGCCATCACAAAGCCCTGACCTCATTCCTATAGAAAATTTGTGGGCAGAACTGAGAAAGCGTGTGCGAGCAAGGAGGCCTACAAACCTGACTCAGTTACACCAGGTCTGTCAGGAGGAATGGGCCAAAATTCACCCAACTTATTGTGGGAACCTTGTGGAAGGCTACCCAAAATGTTTGACCCAAGTTAAACAATTTAAAGGCAATGCTACCAAATACTAATTGAGTGTATATAAACTTCTGACCCACTGGGAATGTGATGAAAGAAATAAAAGCTGAAATAAATCATTCTCTCTACTATTATTCTGACATTTCACATTCTTAAAATAAAGTGGTGATGCTAACTGACCTAAAACATGGAATTTTTATTAGGATTAAATGTCAGGAATTGTGAAAAACTGAGTTTAAATGTATTTGGCTAAGCTGTATGTAAACTTCCAACTTCAACTGTACATAATACAAGTGAAGGATATGAGGAGTGAGTGAGATCATAGTGTGGTATTGTTTGCCAATAGTGTTATCTGTCCAACTGGTATACTCAATGGATGCCAAGGTATAGTAGAGTTTTATTTGACCTAGTCATGCTTGGTGACGTCAGGATTTCTTGAGGATGTACTTCAGATCACACTTTAACATGCAGTGACTCATCTTATTACTTCCTGCTGTCTTGATTAAGACATGCTTGATTGCATATGCAAACAGACATGGTTTTGTAAAAGAAAGCATAGATTATTCTGCAGAATGTGGAAATATGGACCTACATAGTCAAGGATCATAGTGCATGTAGTGGGTTACTTCTTCCTTTGCCAATGATCCTGGAGGTACCACCCAAAGAACTCCACTGGCTCTCCGGGACATCCAGCCTCTCGCTATTCCTCTCCAGCTCTCCCACACAGTCCTATACAGAGACTTTTAAACTAAATAATGGGTTTTGGCATAGGCAATATAACTGGAACCACTGGTATAGTAGCACATATTGGCCATGCCAACTGTAGAAGCATAAACAAACAAAAGTATTACTACACAGAACACTCTCCACATTGTTTACATTTCATGTATTAATTCAATGCATTGATTCAATTCAGTTAACTGCTTGTTGAGAGATGAAGCTTCTGGGATCCAAACCAGGAGGATTGGGTTGACAGCCCTACCTTAATCAAAGCAGCTCTTTCTAGCCACTCCCTGGCCCTCTGGTCCTTGGGCGAGACAGGTCGTGTGGATGATGTCTCTTTACAGACCCTTCTCAGCTCCTGCAGCTCTATGACCAGCGCTGTCATCTGCAGAAAGGAACAAGTTAATCTACTCCTATGGTTAGCCACTCGCTCAGCTGTTATACAATGAAAATGGTGTCTTGCTACATCAAAGTGCACAGTTACATGTAATTACACTGTAACTGACAGAAATATGTCAGTTTTGTCAATACCTTTCCAAGTTATTACATGATATATGGGCAACTTGGTGTGAGGTGATACCAAGAATTGGATTATGATGATGCCATGAACAGACTGGACTAGCTACCATTGGCTCGTGCTGTCATGGATTCCAGCGATCGACGAATACCAGCCCCTTCTCCTCTCTGTCCTGAGATGACACATCATTGACAGTAGAAGAATAAGGGACACAGATGAGGAAGGAATGTATAAAGTAAAGCTTCATGACAAATACTGGTCCAAGGGCACCAAGTCTACCATCTGTGGCTACACTCTTAGAAAAAAGGGTTCCAAAAGGGTTCTTCGGCTCTCCCCATAGGATAACCCTTTCGGGTTCCAGGTAGAACCCTTTTTGATGCCAGATATAACTATTTTGTGTTCCATGTAGAACCCTCTGTGACAAAGGGTTCTCCTATGGGGACATCCGAAGATCTCTTTTAGGTTGTAGTTAGCACCTTTTTTTTCAGAGAGTGTGCTTCACTGCCAGGATGTTCTCCACCGGCGAAGCCGAAGGAAGTACATCATTATGTAGTAGATAGAATGGAATGCATGGAATACATTTTATGTGGAACAGGGAGGTGTGTCTATTCAATCTCCACATTGCTATTTGTTATCATTCTTACCTGCTGGTGTAACTCTTGGGTTATCAAAATGAAGATTTTCAATAGGGCTCCTGCAGGTTCTGTACATGGAATGGTTGGGTTGCATTAACATTGTATGAGTATTCATTATTTTGGATTACAGTCAACGTCTGGTAAATGCAACTTTATTGCACTAAAACGGAGATTGCACTTACAGTATCTGAAGTGTACTTATCAGTCGTCGATTGTGGGCCAATGTTAACATGAAACATACCTAGTTTGACGTTGTGATGACTTGCCAAAGTCTGCAGTTTTTATTTCCGTTGAAATTAGCAGGCCTTTAAAAAGCAACAGGGACAAGCAGACATTGAGAACACAGGGAAATGTGATGACGGCAACGGAAAACCTCATGACAGGGTCATTATCCCATTTCCTGATAATGAGAGCGAGAGAGCGAGAGAGAGAGAATGTAACAGAGAGAAAGACAGAAGAATAAAGAGAGAGTGTAAGTGAGTGTTAAGCTTCCAGCTCTCCTCAATCAAGAAGGATTGTCTGTGCGGTCTGTGTCAGTGTGGAGTCATGCAACATTGCATCAGCCAGACTCAGCCAGAAGTACATGGTTTTGGGCACATACCTCTCAGTTACAACCAATCAAATGAGGGCAAGCACAGCCAAACTGTAGGGGGAAATTAGTCCAGTATGCACCAAGAATAAGTGCCAGTGTTGGTTGGTATGAATATAAAAACATTATGTAACACCTATTCCTGAGTAAGCATTCATTGTGTACTTGGAAGTGAAAAGACCAGAGGAAAGTATGAAGTAGCTCAGTTGGTAGAGCATGGTGCTTGCAACATCAGGATAGTGGGTTTGATTCCCAGGACCACCCATACTTAAAATGTATGCGCGCATGACTGTAAGTCATTTTGGATAAAGTAATCTGCTAAATGGCATATATTATTATCATTATGATATTACTGTCTTTACATCTTTGTCTTTGAAAAATAATGCTGTCTAGGAGTGCTTTCTTTACATCCTAAACTTAGTTCTGTCTTAACCCTTCTCTCTGATTAGTCCTTCATAATGACATCATTATCACCCAGCTCTCTGGTTGGTCCCTTCATAATGACATTATCATAACCCTGCTCTCTGATTGGTTCCTTCCTTCATACTGAAATTGTCATAGCCCTGCTTTCTGATTGATCCCTTCATAAAGACATTGTCATAACCCTGTTCTCTGATTGGTCCCTTCATAATGACAATCTCATATCGGCGAGAAAAAGTGTCTAGCCCTGCAGTATTCCAACCATGTCTTCCCAGTCTGCATATCCCATGAATCCATGTTTATGTGTCCTGAGGGACCAGGGCAGTAAAAGGCAGCGCACCGTGGACCACAAGCTCAGGGCCAAAGAAAATAGTCTCGGAGAGGGATTAGTATTAGTTTAAGCCAGAAATCAAAACTCCTCACCAGCCTCAACAATAAACAAGAACATGTCAGAGTCCTCAGACTAAGACAATGACACTCTATGTCAACCAGTGTAACAGGGTGTTACATTAATAAATGGACGTTGGTCATGGGCTTTGTGGCTGTAACAAGTTTGCTGTTACGTAAGGTTGTTACAATGTATACATTGCCAGATTTGAGCACAGCTGTTAGAGAATGGGCTCTCCAGATTCCCCTCCTTCCCCTCACAGACCAGAGGCAGACTGTCCAGCATTATCTTTGATCAGTAGTATTCTAAGACAGTGAATCCTCAAAAATCCACAATCCATAACTCATAGGTATTTCTATAGCTTGTCTACTCAGCATGTGTTGGCAAGATACTGGATAGTGAAGCATGTAGCACAGTAAACTGCAAAAAGTAGCATCTTCGCTTAAAAAAGGTTCTCAGGTTGCATGAAGGGGAAATCTTTGCTTTTTCAACTTTAATAAAGGGATATTTTTAACATAAAGTACTGGAAGTGTAATAAATACCATAGCTTAATAATATTCTAGGTAAATACAATGTTAAAATATATAACATTTTTATATGTGAAATGAATTCAACTGAGTCTGTTGGGAAAAAAGAAAGTGGGGTTTGGAGGAGAGGTATGTTTCAAAGAAAACATCACTCTGCCACGTTAGACCGCCTCCACGTGATATGGTGCTGTAGGAAAGTACTCCCAAATGGGCAGTTACCTGGTTCTCTTCCTTTATCTGTTTCTGTGGGCCAGGCTTAGAGTGGGTCACCTCATGGATCTTAAGTCTTAATTCCTCACTGAACTTTGACTGCAGTTGAATAACAGACACATTATTCCCTTCCACTCTTCTCCTCATCCTCATCTTGCTCCTCCACCTCATGCACAGCACTCTCCTCCCTCACCCTCTCCTCCTTTCCAGAGACTTGCACATCCGTTTCCCAAGCGCTCCTAAGAGACAAACAGATGTGGACTGACAAACCCCTGCTTCTGGTTCATCAGTTATAAGTCTGACTGTTTCTCCGTGTTCTGGAGCTCGCAGCACTCTGACGATGCCAAGAGTTAAAACACTGAGACAAGAAAATTCCCCATGACCTCAAGATAAAGGTAGAGATACTGATTCCATCCCAAATCCACCCATACTCTCTTTGCACGTATGAAGACCATAAGGGTTGGATAAGTGTAAGGCAGCAATATGGAGAACATTCCATCAGATAGCAAAGTAGAACCATATTGATTATATCCATCTGATTCTTTCAGATCTCCAAGTGCACCGATATTAGAGGCGGGGGTTCCTTACCCAAGGGCTGAGGGGTGTCCTTGTTGAAGCAGCTCCTCCCGCTCAGTCTCCAGTGCTGCTAGGAGAGCCCTGAGCAGGCGTCTGTCACTCTCCATCAGGGAGGCCCGCACCTCTGCAGACCTCAGCCTCTGTCTGAGATGCCACCTCCTGTAACAGGGACTAATTGATCTGCAGATCATCAGCCAACAAAGTGGTGTTACACAAAATAGTGAATGTTCTTACTGTGGCATTATTATGATAGAGAGAACTGTTGTGTGGCTTGAGAACTGTTGTGTGGCTTGAGGCCTGGGTTAGATACTACCGAGATGTCTGGCTCTGCAAGATTACATGCTTCTGTACAAGGACGAAGTGTAGAAGGAACTGCATCCATTTTGGGTGTGAATCCCTGTACCAGTTTAGTTGGTCTGGTCTTCCATGTCTCTACCTGCTTGCTGCCATGTAGCTCTATCTGTGTGGCCAGTGTCTCTCTGTGGGTCTCCTGGAGGCTGAAGCGTGCCTGGTATAGCTGGGAGTGGAGGGCTGCTATCTAGGCCTCTGAGGCATCCCTTCCTTGCTCCATCAGCCCCTGCTGGGCCCTAGACTCCTCCAGCAGACGCTCAAGGTTGTCTAGCTCCTGAAAACACCAACAGTTTCTTGGGTTATGGCCCAAACACAGCCAAATCAGCCATCCATAATTTTTTTCTCATGGTGTTTACATGGTCAGTGTCAGGGGTGTCAGTTTGGTCATGTTATTAGTGAACAAAAGGATGACATACAGATTTACTTTCAGAAGTTTACCTTTGTCCACTGCTTGAGCAAGAAGCTGGGAGGTCATATTATGGTCCTCCCTCTGGCACTGTGGGCGAACGGTACCGACCCAATTCTCCTGATTGACAGACCAAAATGAAAGACATCTCATTTCAGTGGCAGCTTTCATTCTGCCAATGGGAGGCTAGTTTCCTCTGCTTATTTAGGGCTTACAGGAGTCAAGCTGTCCTTATGGGCTGAAGGTCCATTCCTGTGGAGACACTTTCCCCCAGAACAGAAAACCTGGTCCAGTTGGGCGCTAATGGTCTCCAAGTCCAACTCTAGCTTACCCACTCTGAGGACATGAGACAGAAAAGTCCTGAGCAACATACAAAAAGAGAAAGCCCAAAAACGATCCACTGCACTGATCAACAAGCGCCATAGTTATTCATTACCTTGTGTAAAAGGTCACTATATGGTGGGATATAGATGTTCCCTGATAACACTTGGATGGAGGTTTACTGGTCGTTTGATCTGCCGAAGATTCAAAAAAAGTGTCTGTGGGGGAGGCAATTAACAAATATGGGTCAAACCGTGGCACAAGTTAGCACAGTGACAATGTGAGAAAGGAAATCCACTCAGCTAGGTATTTATTCAGATGTGTCATTAGCCTAAATTCCCTTCCTTTAGAATCCCCGATACGAAATGGTACAAAAACATAATGGAATGTGGCATGTGTCATAGTGACCTGGAAACCTACCCAGTCCATTCATCTATCTGTGGTCATGTATCTGTACACAAAAAAAAAAATGTATGCATGCATGACTGTAAGTCGCTTTGGATAAAAGCGTCTGCTAAATGGCATATTATATTATTATTATGAGGGCCACAGCCTACACTACAGAACAGGTGGCAGCAGCAGCTACATCTATTACCTTCGGTAGTGCATGTTGGCTCCCTGGGCCCATTCTCTAGAGCAGTCTGAGCCTCTGTTTCTGCAGGGCACTTTGGACCCAAGCCAGACTGACCTCCAGATCTCTCCTCCGCTGCTCAGAGTCCAGGAGGCCCTGAAGTTCAATCGTCCCAGGTTGGGTGAGTCGAAGCCAGCCAGGTGGCATATCGTCCACGGGGTCGTATAGTGGAAAATACTTCTGCATCTGCTGCCACCCTGCATCAAAACCCCTGCCCTCCAAATCTACATTTGTTTATAGGCCACATGAAATGTCTGACATGTTCACGACACCACCTACGGGTACTAACTTCAAGCTGGTTGTCACAACTCAAAACTGCATGAGTGAGACAGATGCAAAGATTAAGTAGTAGTTACCACTCACCTGGACATGTGTTTTTTTTCTTCACTAAATAAAATGTAGAAAGTGGTTGGCTTGTTTTTAGTTTAAAGGTACCCTGCACCTTTGTCCCATCATGTATCCCATAGATACGCTCCACCCATTGCCCTGTGCAGGAGACTATTGGCCAGTGGCCATACTGAACATTAACCAAGAGGGCACTTAAGAGTTTAGCTGGCTGACCCAACACTTGGACAAAAATAATATGTGGGGGGACTTTTAGGGCCGGTTTCCCAGGAACAGATGAATCTTTGTCCTGGAATAAAGAGCATTCTCAATGGAAACTTCATTGAAAGTGCTCTTAATTCCAGGGCTTGATCTGTGTCATGGAAACCACCCTTTAGTGTTTTGACCCATGTTAATGAATGAGAAGAAATTTACTTAAATATTTAATTACCTAAACATTATGTTTAATCTTGCAAATCAGGATACATTTTTGAATGAAAATTTGAAGAGACAGCAAAAGATTTACAAAGACAAACGCATTTGTAGAAATCACAAGCATACACATACATGCACACTATGAATCATAATGGAAAACATGAAGAGAAAAGGGAAGAACATTGTGATGAAGCCTTGCAGATTAGTCAGCTAACTTCTGTAAAACAAACTGAATTCACACTTGACATACAAAATGCTGGCTCTCAACAAAGGCCATTGTCTATGGGAGGTACACACCTGGCTTTAGCCAACCTATAAAGACACTGGTTTTCAACCCTGAAAGAGTCTTTGGGTGGATTGAGTAAATTATATAATGGTATGCATTGCACATAATGCAGCCCTGCATGCCAGGCTTAAAGAGCAAGACTACATACACATCATTAGACTTCTCCCATGTCTTTTGAGCGTTTGTACGTAGCTCCCAGACAGAGTGAGGAGGTATGTGGTGATGAGGCCTTTTCTGAGGCTTCCTCAAGCTGACACAATCCTCTAGTCGCCATGATTGTACATTGTGCTCATTCTATATAAAGGATTTTGTATATGCAACGTCCCACCATAGTTGAATAAGCCCCCGATATTGGGTTTCCTGACCGAGCGCATTAGGCTTACAGCTTGAAGGGGAACCCAGTGACATCATGACATTTTTCTACTTTGCAGTGGAAACTATAGGATGTGTGTGTATATGGCTTGGCTGCTTCATTGGAACATTCACTACAAAATGTACAGTAGGCAGCCAACTATCGTCCAACATCTTGGAAAACACTTTTGGGGAACAGCTGGGGAATTACTAACTTCGTTTTAGAGCTTAATGTACACTCATACCTCCTACTAATGGGGAATTCATGACTTAGCTTTAGAATGTACACTCATACCTCCTATTAATGGTCCGAAGTCCATCGTACTGTTTTATCTATAAAGTTGAGGCCAGTAACCGAAAGGTCACTAGTTCAAATCCCCGAGCCATTAAGGCACTTAACCCTAATTGCTCCTGTAAGTCGCTCTTGATAAGAGCGTCTGCTAAATGACTAAAATGTCAATTTAAAACATTGACCAATTAATAGATATTTTCAAGTTTATTTCGGTAAGGCAGAAATTGCAGTCATTTCATATTCTCCAGACACCAGCACTGATATAATTAAGAAGCAGTCAGGAGAGGAATGGCAAACATGTAAGCCTAAGTATGGACAGCACAATTAATCTGCTCTATCCAGTCACAAGTCAGAAATCTCAATGGCTTTTTTCCTCAATAAGATTGAGTTACTAACTTTACTTGTGCAATGTCATGCCCCAAAGCGCACAATCTTGAGTCGTTTTCACTGTATATGAGGATCTTTAAGGACCTGTGAGGAGGACATGGTGACCGTCCAGTTTAAGAACATGCTGATGTCTTTGAGGGTGTTTGATTACTACGTATTGAGGATGCAAAATGCTTGTTTTTCTAACCTTTACACTTCGTTAGACATACACTGACTACAATAGGATTATTTTTCTGCGTAGAACCCCCTGTCTTAGACCAGGTAGAACACCAGACACTTGTGACAGACAACAGAATGGTAGCATTTTACCTCAGGGCACACACTCTCAACACCACCAGGCAAATACATTCAGGTACCTCTTTTCCACCAGGAAGAGGCCTCCTTATAAGCTACCTGGAATGGTGCTCTTCACAGGGAAGGGAGCTTCAGCGGATACACTTTCAAGATAGAGCTTTTCACATAGTTAAAATACCCTTAAGGACCCCTTAGTGGTGAGAATTAGAATGCCTAATATACATATAATGGGATTTGGCCTTTTCAACAACCTGTTTTTGGAGTTCTAGGCCCTTTGATGCTCCATCAAAAGGTTTTGAACATATCCCAAAGTACAAAAATCTTTCAAGATAGTTGTTTGGTTGTCTTTGAACAAAAAAAAGTGACTTGGTTTATTATTGAACTTCAAATTGTAGAGTTCCATCTTTGGCCTGAGCTCTTGGCATTGGATGGGTTGAAACCCCGCTCGATCAGCAGAGGCATCAAAAGGAATAGCAAGAAATCCCCCAAAAGTGACAGAAAACTAAAATGATCCCAATATGAACCCAAAAGACAACATCAACAGTACTACAAAGAGATAGGCATATGACAAAATTAACTATTTGAGAGTCCCCGATGCATAGGACGATCAATTAAACATTTCACAACCTCCCCTCAAGACAAAATGGCTCACAAAGGACTTAATCTCAGCAGCCGTCTTCAGAAAGGGAGTGGGGGGCGTACCAGCCCAATAGGACACCAAGAGTGTGTCAATGTGCTGAATGTCAACGGTCATTCCTGGTGTCAATGATTTATGGATCCTATGAAGAAAACGCTGGAATCCCAGTTCAATTCACCATCGGATGTGCAAAGGCCGAAAATAAAGGGAACATTTGTTTGCTAATCAGATCAGTCATTCTCTGTAGTCCAAAGAGTCCAAGGCATATCATAATTTATCAAGGCACATTTGGTTACTGCATCCACCACAGCCACAAATTGGTTGTCAAGGCTGTTCATGTTTTTATTGGCTTTCCGAGTCATTTTTTCCCCACGTCCACAGTGATTTTGGTATATAATTGATCCTTCTCCACTTTGACCACTTTATACGACAGGGTTTTGATGCCGTCTTTGTTCATCGTCTCCCTGGTGTGGGCGATGCGGTCGAACCTGGAACGAAAAACCACAGTTCAACCACAATTCAATGACGTGGTTTAGGAACCATGTCTTTTTTATTTAGTTTAAGGTGTAGCCTACGGCAAACATCTCCTTTGGATTTCACAACAACCGTCGCTTGAGTAAGCACTACTTGATTAAACACGATAACAAGAAAGAAATACACGACAATCAAACAAATCAAAGTACTATAGGGAAAAGTAATCCACTATACATTGTAATGTAATATGTACATAGTGATTTCAATAGACATGATGAATTAAGTGGCTTATCAGTGTGGCTTCGACCACATTTCACGCCAATGTTTTCCCAGACTTGTAATATTCTATTAAGTTTGCTTAGGTACGGAGAACAATGTCCGAGCTCAGAAAGTCAGCCAGCGTTAGTGAGAAATGACATCAAGGGGAACAGTAGTGAGTGACTAGATCCTTGTGTGAAGCGGGAAAGGAGAGCCTGGGAGGGTTCAGCTGTGCACACCTTCTGTTCCCTCTCCCTTCTGCTCTCCTTTACAGATCAGACAGAGCTGGATAGGTGAAAGCAATATAGCTGAAACTAGGTGGACCAATTGCTTACTTCTATCAAATCCAGTTTGGCTATATTCATGTGAACGGGAGTGAACGAAGACAGAGGGGTACCATTATAGATTGAAACACCGCCCCTGAGAGCATCGTGCAGGAGTCCTGTTCACAAGGGGGAACCTCACCTCTGAGGGTTGTCTTCGTTCCCACCGTCCCGGTTGTGGCGGATCATCCTGCATTTCCCCACGGCGCCGCTGGGCCGTGAGATGGTCATCCCCTTGGAGCTCAGCCTGTTAAAACACAGCAGCAACATGAGTCAGAACCCCGTCTAACTAAAACACTGGATCGCAGTTACAAGAAGGTTTTACTCCCGAGGAGAAGATCTGCGCCTGTTTTTTTTACACTAGTGAAATAAACATAAAATAGGTCAAATAAAAAGTAGGATAGATGTGAAAGGGAGTAAAACAGGTTATTTGGTTTTCATTCAGTTGCCTCTGTGGAAGAGATGCAAATTGGCCTTGCTTATTAAATAACAGGTCACATTTGTGTAGCTGGGCTCAGTGACACAGCTATAAAAGCTTCCCAAACACCGTGAATAAGATTGAGCGTCTCTGGAAACGGCCAGTCTGCCATAGTTGATCAAAATGGATAAGGTGAATTATAAACCATCCCCTACTAAGAGCTACGTAAAGCAGAAGAGACAAAAACACATCTTAACACCTTGTGCTGTTGGGCATTCACCAGTATGTGTGGAGTTCATCTATAATTCAGTTCTGGAGACAATGTTCAGTTTGGCTGGTCTATAGTTTACCTATAGGGTTACACATGCCTCAAAGACACAAGTTAACAAGGCACAGTATATGTTTTGTAGAGCTAATTTAATGCCAAATCCAGCAAAGCAACAGTAGATACTGTATGTCAAGTTAGACAAAGACTGTTCCGGAACAGAACCGTTATTTTAAAAGCATGGGAACCAGTTAATAACGTTTTTTTACATTCCAGAAAAAAAACACAACAAAGCGCCAATGCAAAGCCCAAAACTTATTCCAGGGTCTACCTGCAAGCTGTAAATCTTTGCCAGTGTGTATGTGTGTTCAGGCTACCTGCCCTAGCCTCCCCCGGCGATGCATAGGCTAATGTACTGATGTTACAAGCGTGATTAAGAAGATAGGGAGAGAGATTTTTTATTCGCTAGAGAAGAATGGATTAACTTCTTCAATGCTAGTTGAGGATAATACAGGCCTAGTTATCACGTTTCACGTTGGATTTAACTACAAAAAGGTAAGACGTGTTTTTAATTCTGGTGCCGCTCTGCTCAAGCTTGTTAGCTAGCTAGCTCAAAGGACATTCAAAGTTCCTCCATAGAAGCCGCTCCTCCTAGGTATAATTCTGTGGACCTAATTCAGATAATGAATGTCATAACAAGATGCCCAGCGCTTCAAGCCTCCTCCTCAACCATCTCTCCCCATCTGCGTCCTGAGCCATAGGCTATACTTGTCTGTCCATCATGCATGTAAACAACTAGCTTGCCTGCTCTATCCACACTGATTGGTGAACTAATTGAATGAGCTAAATGTAAAAAACTGTTGTTTTCACAGGTTAAAAAAGGAACAGTATTAACCGGTACTTGTTTTTGGTTCGAACCGGTTCAGAACTATATTTTGTTGGTTTGGAACAGAACAAAAACAATTGTGTTTCTGTTCAGAACGAAACAATTGGAAAATAATTATGGTTCCAACCCCTGCAAAGTACCCTATTCCTCTTATTTCAGGAAATTATGTCAGACTGGGTCTGACAGAGCCATAACACGTTCAACCCCCCCCCCCCCCCTCCTATCTCAGACAGAAGCAAGCAGTCAGACAGCTGGAATTTGCCCTGACAACATAAACAGCCTCCCAGGCAGGACCACTGGAGAAACAGGCAGGACCACTGGAGATGGCTGGAGGGAGTGTTCAGGGAGTGTCTCAGAGACAGGATACATACCACTCACAAATTAGAAGTTTGTTTGGGTGTCCCATCTGCTTGTGAAAGCTCCTCTGCTAAAACGGAGGCTAATAGGCTACTAACTGATACATTTCCTTCAATAGCAAATGGTGGTAGTGGTATACAAGGGCACCCTCAGGGGCAAGTTGGAACAATGCAAAAAGTAGGGCTAAAAACACAACCCACACTGACGAGTGACAAGTACTAGGCCTATGTTACTATGTGATGGAGTTTCAACATGTGATGGGGCTTCAACATTGAACAAGAAAACCTTTTCATGTGAAACCTTCGCTATCACTTTACCCAACAAATATGAATTTTTTTGGAGTCGTATTTCTTGCTGTCCTGCTCCTGACTTTTACATGGAGTCCTAATACGCCACAGACGTTGGTCTGAGAGTGGCTGTGCGGACTCTGACCTGTTGTAAATGTCGTCATCCTCCCCTCCCCAGCCCCAGTAGTTGTTGGGGAAGCCGTTGATCTTGAGGAACTGCTCCTTGCTCATTGATGACACGCCTCCAAAGTACTGGTTGTACGGCAACCTGAGAGAGCAAGAGAGAGAGATACAGAGAAAGAAAAATAAATATATGGAGAAACTTGAATTTGTTTATTAGAGTTTAAACAACTCTCAAATGAAGGAAGGGATCAAGGACTTCGGGCCCAACATAAACTGCAGTCAGTGGCTTACGTTCCAGGAAAGAAGAAGCATCTGCCTAGAAGATGAGGTGCTGCAGAAAAACCCACTTCCTCCATGTGTCACTGCCTTCTGTAAATTACATGCTGGCTGTCTGTACACTGTGTACTGTAGGGCCACGTGTAGCTGAGAGACTGAGGCCCCCTGGTTTAGCCTTGCCTCATTTTCTTGTTGATTTTGGATGCTCTACAAGTTATCCTTGACTATAATGCTATTCTTTAAATCCCATGGCAAACATTGGAAAAGTCGCCACAATTAAGAAAAAAAAACATTAATCCATTGTGGGATTTAGTCACCGAACAAATTACCGAACAAGGGGAGCTTGGCGTCTCTCCTTGAGCCGGGCTTCCCTGCCCAAATCCTGCTGGATATTGCATCCAGATGCTCTGTGAGCTGCATGCCCCAGGAGGAACATGACACACAGTGACAGGACACAAGGTGTTTTGTGTGCAACACAGGGAAAGGTTCGGTGACAGGATGCCCATAAAAGCCCAGTTACAAGCTGAGAGACCTGTTCTATGACCTGTACACAGGGGGCACTCTGCACTATGATGTCACATCTAGGACCAGCTTACCTTACCAATCTAAATCTTAAATCAGAAGCAGACAACGGAAGCAAACTGACTGTAGATCAGCGCCTAGCCGAGCATAAGGCCTACAGCTGTGTAGGCCCAGAGCTGTGTATCAGAAGAGAAGCTCCCAAATCCCTTTATCAAACACACAGACAAAGACAGTTTGTAGCCTCACATAACCCCTCCCTGTCTGACGTGTTACACGTGTAGAGCAACAGCTAAACCAACTGGAGTTTGCTCTACAGGTCACTGGACCCCACTTCCTCCTCTATAGTCAGAAAACAAAGCAGAAAACAGTTCAAAACCTTGTGGCACTAACAGCATTGCCACCTAAGGCTAAAATGATTAACATTTAAGCCATTCTGACAGCAGACCTTTGAAGCCAGTCCTGCTCATGTGAGCACGTTGTAAGTCTATAGGCAGGCTATTCAACACACATGACTCGAGGCAAATAATGTCCCAGCAGCTAATGGGGATCCATAATAAATACAAATGAGGGACAGTTTACAACTAGTGTAGCTAAATTTAGCGCCTAATTCAAATTTCATGCCAAGCTCTTTCCAACACCACCTTCTGCATTAGCGATTTAAATGCTTGCTTGTCTTACCGACAGAGGTAAGGAGAAACAAGCCTTTGTGCATGTAATAGGGAGAAACTAAATAATATGGCATTCCTTTGGCATGTGACACTTTACACAGTCTAATCTTTCTAGCCTAATTCTTGGCTAATCTTTAACAGAACCTGGTTTGGATCAGTCGTGATCAATAAGGAAGAAGGCAATCATTAGCCACCATAAGATATCCTTCACCTATGCTGTTGGCATCCTTCATAATTACATCCCCACCCCATTGGGGAAAGTTGTAGTTCCCTTCATTAGTAATACTGACTCCATCACAAACCCAGTGAATGGCTTGGTTTGAACTGCCTACAGCAAACACCTATAGACAGCTACTGAGGTAAAGACAGGCAGACCCAGAAACTCAACAACAAAACAAAAGACAACAAAGTCAATTTTCAATAGGCAGCATCAAGCAAAGTCAACTGTTAGCCCTCTGTAACAGCAGTGGTAATTCAGCAGTTAATTGGTTAAAGTGAGTGACACGGACACGGATAGAACATCATGGAATCAATCCACAGGTGCACTTCAAGCTTTTATATGGACACTCCTACTAAATGAGTTCAGTGTGTGTGCCTTTGACCATGTGAATGCACATTTGTGTCTGTCCTATGTCTGCGCAGTGGACTGGGGAGAGGCTGAAAGCGCAGTGGACTGGAGAGAATGCCTGGTCATCTGTGGGAAGGGTTGACTTACCTGAAGCCAAACTTATCCATGGAGACAGACAGGTGCCTGGGCTGGCTGAAGCACTTGTAGGTGTTGCGGTCGTCCATGGGGATGAGGTCCACATCGCTGAACACAAAGCAGCCATAGTCGTACTCCTTCAGGGCCTCCATGTAGCCAATGTTGAGGAGCTTGGCACGGTTAAAGATCTCATCACCGTCCTAGAGAGTGAATGGAGGGAATATGGGTTAGAATTAAAAGGTGAATCGTGTAAAACTAAATACTTATTTTTGAGGGTCTAGACAGGAGTAAGCAACTCTTGTCCTCATTGGTTGGTTGGCCACCCATGTCTAATGGGACTAAAGTGCACACCAGAATCAAGGCTAAACTAAACCATCCAGAGGGCTATCTATTATAATGTGATCGGGAATAAAAACATGTCAGAGACTGAGCACTAGATGCTACAAACATCCTACACTGAAAATGAGACAAAACTACTAGACTTGAAGGTTTGGACAACTGAAAACATTGGTGTATACAGTACATGACTTGGAGTCGTTTGTCTTTGATGACATTGTGTAGGCATCTTCTTGTTTGCTGGAAAACATGCGTTTACTCTTAAAATCAGGAGTGCAGGTACTTACAAACTTGAAATTCATGTTGTGTTGCTGATGCAGTGTCATCAAAGCTTTGCAGGCCCAGCTCTTTAATGTGACTCCATGTAGCTGTTATGCTAGGCATTTTCAAGGGTGTATATGAACAGATTCTAATAATATTTAATAGTGCTAAAAACGTGTCAGTGGCACTTTAACTTATGGATCGTGAGCGCTTTATGTAGAGTGAATGTAAATAGAGACAGAACTCTGTAATGGGAAGGAGAGGTTTTTTTCCCCAGGTGTAGGATAATTATTATGACTCAAAACAAAGGAATGCTGAAGAACATGGATAGGTCATCTGGGAGACAACCATTTCCCATTTCGAAACTCTTAAAGCAGTAGCGTACTTTTCCTCAGTATCCGGTTTCAGCAGTCCTCATCTTATAATCATGGGCCTAGCTTAATGAAAGAACAGGGAACAAAATATCCTTAAATTTGGGGGATTGAACGACAGAATATCATATTGTAGTCTGTACAGGCTTTATACTTAATCCTCTGTTAAACCACCATATTCTAGGCTCTTATGGTATGTCATCCACTACTTGTTGGGTGGGTATTTTGATTCTCTTTTTGTGTTCTCAGACTGAATACATGGTCAATTACCAGGTCTAATGTACTTCAGTGTCCTGGGATGATTCTCTGTGCGGTGTCCTTTGGCAAAAGAACGGGAGCATCGTGTTCTGTGTCAATGTGCCTTCAATGTGGGCGGAGTGACTTTCAATGGACACGTCTCATATATCACTGGCTTTATCTGATGGTCCTCCTGAAAAAGATCAGCTTGAATACCCATAGAACCAAAATTGGCTAAAATATTCAAATGGAGGCAGATTCTCCTCCTAATAACATGCAATCATAACAAGGACTGTGGTTCTCAAATTAAAGAATAGTGTGGCTAGTGTTTTAATAAAAAAAGAAAAAAGACAATTCATCTAAAAAGAAAAGGTAAACGAGGAAGAGGGTCTGGGAAGTTCAAGTCATCTGAAGAGGAGGTCCAACCCTTGGACAATTGATTCAATGTTCAGTATTGTTCTCTGCTGAAGCACTTTGCTGTCAGTCACATGTCATGTTGCACATTGTGGTGATATGAGACAGACATGTACACTGATTGAAATTAACGTATTGAAATCGGCTACGGTCTGAAATAAATATCCGCTAAGGAGGTCTGTGAGTGTGTTTATGAGAGTGTGTATGTGTGTTTTTTTTCTTCCACCAAGTGATGCATCCCTCTCTCCTCCAGTGCATTAAAGCTTCATCTGTATACAGGGTGTGGATCATTTGCAAAGATGGAAACAAGCAAGTGAAGAAGACAGCATGAGACCAAAATAGATCTCTAATTCAATGAGATAGAGAGAAAAGAATCCCATATTACCAGTAGAACCCCTCAGCCCATGGGATCACGCAATTGGCCAGAGCAAGCAGGGGGCCGGTCTCACCTCATCCAGCGACCACAGCCAATGGCCAGATACGCCTGACATGCAAAAGGACGGCGGTTTGAGCAAGGGGGCAGGGAAAGGAGGAGGAAATAAAACAAGGGAGGAAAGAATAGGAAAGGCTAGGAGAAATAGGAGAGAAGAGAGAAACAGAAAGACTGAGTAGAATTTCAACAAAGACCTCATAATTGTGTTTAACAGCATTGAAGGGCCCTCTAGCAATAGCTAGGCTTGTCTATGGAACAAGTCTGATTGGCCCATTAGTATAATAGCAGCCATTAAAGCTACTTTTCTATGCAATGGACACCACCTAGGCCAACGTCTTGAACCAATTTGCTACTTGTGCTGGAGACTGGAGTGGAGTATACTCTACAAAAAAAAAAGAAGGTTATATGTACAAATAGAACCATGTATTTGCTGTGTATAGCCTATGTGTGGCATTCACTTTACCCTACAACATGCTGGGTTCCCACACTTTACCTGTTAGTGGGTGGGAGGCAACAGACTCATGTCCTGGCATGAGACCTGAAAGAGAAGTCAATTACGCCTTCAAGCTGAAACCCAGTACTGGCCTCGCAAGTGCCAATAGCGCCTACATCTGTAAAGAATCATTAAAAGGACCATTGAACTACACCGATCTGATAAGCTTTTTTAACAAAAAGGAATAGATTGTCAATACATTTTCAGAAGTTACTTTGCTTTATCCCAGACAGTGTTGATGACTTGAAGGATATTGAGAAGAATGGATAATCGTTATCCTACGTTCAGGTCAGCCTTTGCGTGAAATGGGATTAGATGACACAATAACTAATACATTTTCACCTTGTCAACTCTGGGCTGTGCAGTGGCATTCATACTACAGTTTGTCCTTTTGCCAGATTGATTTCCAAATACATTCGAGGCCAACTCTAGTATTCCCATAAGTCAGTAAATCCCCACACCTGTGAGAATTCAGTCTAACTACTTGCAGCATCACTTCACACACAAAAAACGTGACAAAACGAGTTTCTGCCCATTTGCCTGTGGCCTCATGTTTCTAGGGATTTCTACAAATTGGGAGATAGTCAGTGAGAGATGGGGAGATAGAACCTCATTTTAGGCAGGAAAGGCTCACTTCATGAAACCAAAGTGTTTTAGGTGTCACCACTCAGGCTAATGATTGCTATTGATAACGACCAACCAACACTGGCCAGTTTGTAATATAATAATAATAATAATTGGTCATTTAGCAGACGCTCTTATCCAGAGCGACTTACAGGAGCAATTAGGGTTAAGTGCCTTGCTCAAGGGCACATCGACAGATTTTTCACCTAGTCGGCTCGGGGATTAGAACCAGCGACCTTTCGGTTACTGGCACAACGCTCTTAACCACTAAGCTACCTGCCGCCCTTGTAGCTAGGTTAGTTGTCAAAACAGAGTAGCCAACTTGTTGTGGAACTAAGTGCTTATCATGATCACTAGTCATCGGCACGCATCCAAATGACGTGATGTCTATGGTCAACTTGTCTGTTTTCAATCAAATGTTTTGTCTAGTAGCCATCTAGATACACTAAACGGCCAAAAGTATGTGGACAACCCTTCAAATTAGTGGATTCGTCTATTTCAGCCACACCCATTGCTGACAGGTGTATAAAATCAAGCACACAGCCATGCAATCTCCATAGACACACATTGGCAGTAGAATGGCCTTCCTGAAGAGCTCAGTGACTTTCAACATGGCACCGTCATAGAATGCCACCTTCCCAACAAGTCAGTTCGTCAAATTTCTGCCCTGCTAGAGCAGCCCCGGTCAACTGTAAGTGCTGTTATTGTGAAGTGGAAGTGTCTATGAGCAACAACGGCTCAGCCGCGAAGTGGTAGGCCACACAAGCTCACAGAATGGGACCGCCGAGTGCTGATGCGCGTAAAATCGTCTATCCTCGATTGCAACACTCACTATAGAGTTCCAAACTGCCTCTGGAAGCAACGTCAGCACAAGAACTGTTCGTCGGGAGCTTCATGAAATGGGTTTCCATGGCTGAGTAGCCGCACACAAGCCTAAGATCACCATGTGCAATGCTAAGCGTCAGCTGGAGTGTGGTAAAGCTCGCTGCCACTGGACTCTGGAGCAGTGGAAACGCATTCTCTGGAGTGATGAATCACGCTTCACCATCTGGCAGTCCAACGGACAAATCTGGGTTTGGCGGATGCCAGGAGAACGCTACCTGCCCCAATGCATAGTGCCAACTGTAAAGTTTGGTGGAGGAGGAATAATGGTCTGGGGCTGTTTTTCATGGTTCGGGCTAGGCCCCTTAGTTCCAGTGAAGGGAAATCTTAATGCTACAGCATACAATAATATAATAATAATAATAATAATAATAATAATAATAATAATAATAGCCATTTAGCAGACGCTTTTATCCAAAGCGACTTACAGTCATGGGTGCATACATTATGACACAATGACATTCTAGACGATTCTGTGCTTCCAACTTTGTGGCAACAGTTTGGGGAAGGCCCTTTCCTGTTACAGCATGACAATGCCCCGGTGCACAAAGTGAGGTCCATACAGAAATGGTTTGTCGAGATCGGTGTGGAAGAACTTGACTGGCCTGCACAGAGCCCTGACCTCAACCCCATCGAACACCTTTGGGATGAATTGGAACGCCGACTGCGAGCCAGGCCTAATCGCCCAACATCAGTGCCCGACCTCACTAATGTTCTTGTGGCAATGCAGCAATGTTCCAACATCTAGTGGAAAGCCTTCCCAGAGGAGTGGAAGCTGTTATTGCAGCAAAAGGGGGGGGGGGACCAACTCCATATTAATGCCCATGATTTTGGAATTAGATGTTTGAAGAGCAGGTGTCCACATACTTTTGGTCATGTAGTGTAACTACATGCGCTAAACAATAAACTAGGCCTACATGATCATAATAAAAAGCCCAAATTAGGCCTACTGACTATTTTTACATCTGGAAAAGACAGGACATTTTGTACCCAGGCCAGGCTCCCCAAATGTTGTGCATTCAAGTTTAAGTACAACCCTTGTTGAATTATTCCATTAGTTATCTGTAACCAACTCTATACCTTTGTGTACATAAAAGAAAGCTTTTTATTTCTTGATGAAAAGAAACAGGAATGAGTGAGGATAAAAAGAGCATTCCAGACAGGATTGTTCTCTCAGGTCTTTAAAGTGACAGAGATGGCCACGTCTGAAAGCCACTGTCTATTTCTGTGCCACGTCCATTGGTGTTCAGTGCTAGTTTGACGATAGAGAGCATGATAGTCTCTTAGTTGTGCAAACACCATGAATAAATAAAGGAAATTGCTGATGGACAAAGAACAGATGCAGAGACAAATGCTGGCACTATGTTGCAAGATCTGATTTCTTCCCCGTATACGGGAACACAAATGATTAGGCCTACTGCGAATTGTAGGAGTTCTTTAAAGAAGGGAGGCAAGAGTTATTTGGACGCTAGCCTAATTTTTCTCTTGACTGTAAAGCAAGAAATTCCTTTATAGAAAACAGACATATGGACAATTCCACGTTAACGGAATTACACACGAGACTCAGTCTTTCACTTTAATTTAAAGTTTAACAAACCATACAACTCCATGCACAATGACTACTTAGAAAAATGTGCACAATAAAATAAATATTTACTGGAAAGAAAGTTTGGCAACAGAATTACAGTAAAAGCTCCCTCAGTTTTATTGTTACCAAACTTTGTATCTGCACAGCTCTTCCTGTAAATGTGTTTTTGTAAAATTGTCTGTGGAAATTGTTAAAAGTGTAGTCTTTGTGCATAGTATGGTTTGTTAAACTTTGAAATCAATGGTTTTTGTTTGGTATACATTTTAAAGTGACAAATCTGAGTCTCAGCGTAAACTGTTATCATGGAATTGCCCATATGTCTCTGTCCCAGAAGAGTTACTCAAGAAGAAAACAAATCTACCAGTACATGTCTCAACTAGTCACTTGGCAGCTGCCATTACGGCCCATCATTTGGGGGCTTGATGCACTTTTCTTTTTACATAGCCTAGGCTAGTAGATGCACAATGGATTATGGTCATTGTAGTTAGTTACCATGTTTTATGCTCTAAACTATGTAGAATAGTGGCCTGTTGGAAACTACAACTGCCTACTACATTGCACAGTTCAGGCTCGATCAGATTTATCTCTAGAGAAACAGTGAGATGTGCGCATTGAGCTCACAGAAAAATTGTTTCACTAAATGGAATTCCAATAATCGCTCGGCACTACCAACTACTCCACACAGGCAGACAGAGAGCAGACAGGGGCCGGGAGGGACCCACCTGGTTGATAACGTAGATGCCGTAATCCAGCTGCTGACGCTGAAGGATGGGATGGAGGTAGTACAGCCAGAACTTGAGGTGCTCGTCGCGGTTGCGAAAAGGGATGATGATGGCCACCTTCTGGAGGGCCACACAGTCTTTGGGCTTGAAGCGCCCCCCATTCTGAAGATTGGGGTTCTCCTTCCTCACCACATCCAGGCTGACTGGGTTGGAGAACTCAATTCGCAGTGGGCCCACTGGACGAGAACGGGAGAGAGGAGAAGTCTTATACATTTTTGTCAGACCTGATAACTGATGATTCAGTAGAAATAGCAAGTAAAATCTGTTAATATCGTAGGCCTAATATACTATTGCAAGGAAATCTAGCCTAGTTCTACAATCTCCTGTTTTCAGCTAATGCTTTTTCTCCTGACAATGACCTCTCAGCTGTTTTATTATTAAAAGACACAATAGTGTGGCTCCTATATGCCAGTGGCTTACACAAGTAGCTACAGTAGACTGCAAGACTGCGTTGATTTTCAATTAAATCTCCAAGTCAGCTGAGGGGAGAATGTGCACACCACTTTAATCCACTGACTCCCACCTGTGGAGCAGTCAGGGTTTTGTGGCAGAGGGACAGATCAGCTAGGGCCACAGCTGCATAAACATATTTTTTAAACCTGGGCTAAGGGAGAAGGCCACTGAACAACAACAACAAACCTGTGTGGAAATAAGAAAAGCTGCTCATCCAATACCACTAGCAGTAGACCTATGCTATGCATTAATAATATAAGGGTGTGGGCGTGTGGCCATAGATAGACCTATTGTATGAATAAGTGAAATACCAAACCCTACAGGTTAAGGAAGGGGTCATAAAATAACTAAGAAATCGACTGGAGGCTAACTGGTTATACTTGGAGCTTGCATTAGGCTACAGATTAATTCCTCATCAGAGCAGATGAATGACTGTGCCACTTTTGGCAAGACTACCCACCAGGCATCATATGACTATACAATGTCCCAGTGAGGCTACATTGTACGTCAGAGATATTGATTATGCAATGTTGATTAAATATTAGTTGCCATCGACTCTTTGTTAGTTTTGGCAACACATTCATAGCTACTTACCAAGCAGTGGTGATGCGTCAGGACATTTTCCAAGGTATTTGGTGAATGTAACGTTAGGTGGCATGTTGTCTACAGAAAAGCGGTTCGTTTCAACCACGTCAGGTACGGTGTCCTTTAATGTAGTTTGGTCATGCTTTTTTGCTGTGTGTGCTTGCTGATTTTGTGCAAACGCAAATGGAATATCTAACGACCTCATGTAAAAAATTAAAGTCACCGAAATATGGAGAAAACATAGAAGGACGACCAATTTGCAAGTTCTATGGAGAACACTGAAATTCACGTTTGAATCCCGCATCATTAGCTTGCTATGCTAAATTAGCTACTGTAGCTAGTTATATGGATAAACAAATCTAAAGTAGGTAACGTTAACGTTACAACGTTGCAACACCATACCCAATTTCCACTGATGTCACTGTCAACTAGCTACTGTTAGCTAATTTGCTAGTTAGATGCTAACTATGGTAAAATTTCATTTTCGCTCGAGACAACTTCAAGAAAAAGTTGCCCGTTTTATCCTTTACCTTGTACTTTAGTCGTATTCCGTCCAATAAATAAGTTATTGTTGTAAAAAGCCTCCCTCAAGTTAATACCAGCTATCACTACTAACTGTCCCAAATTACTTTAACAAATCATTTAGCTAACTGGCGATAACCGGTGTTATCGCTAGGTAGTAAACTAACGGCAGCGAAGAATTCCAGCAGCATGTCCGAGGAGGTGAGATTCTCCGAATGATTAATATCCCGTTTTGTTGGCCAAATTGACTTCGACTAAACTAAATTAAACACACATATCCGATGGTATAATGCTAGTGTATTTAAAATATTAGCGTCCAGGATCAACGAAGTAACGTCAGAGCTGTACAATTTGGAGAGAAAAAAATACGTAATCCCTCAGCCATTTCGTTGTGGAGACCTTAACAGAAGTTAGTAGCTGGTTCAAGTGACATCTTTCAAATGAGCTGCAGGAGGGAGGAGTCTGCGCTATGACGAACAGCGTGTGCGTATAGTTAGATGACGTTACGCCTATTCTGTTACAAAACGTTTTTTTCCACCAGAAACCGTTTACTCCAAAAGGAAAACGTTTTGCAACGAAAACGAGAGTTTCTATTGGACAAATTAATTTAGGTCCCGCCCCGTTTCGTTCGCTTTGTTTGCTTCCGTTTGGTTATTTTTTTATTTCACCTTTATTTAACCAGGTAAGCCAGTTGAGAACAAGTTCTCATGTACAACTGCGACCTGGCCAAGATAAAGCAAAGCAGTGCGATAAAAACAACAACACAGAGTTACATATGGGGTAAACAAAACATAAAGTCAAAAATACAATAGAAAATATATATACAGTGTGTGCGAATGTAGTAAGTTATGGAGGTAAGGCAATAAATAGGCCATAGTGCAAAATAGTTACAATTTCGTATAATACTGGAATGATAGATGTGCAAAAGATGATGTGCAAATAGAGATACTGGGGTATTAAACGCTAAACGGTTTCAGATGGAAGACGTAATTAATACATCCCTGGTAATAAAGTGCTTGTAGTACTGCTATGATGTATATTTTTAACCTTTATTTAACTACGCAAGTCAGTTACGAACAAATTCTTATTTACAATGACGGCCTTTCACCGGGACTCCCAATCACCGCCGGATTGTGATACAGCCTGGTTTGGCTGGGGTAGCTCTAGCACTGAGATGCAATGCCGTAGACCGCTGCTCCACTCCGGATACGCTTGCAATTATTCCTGGTTGGTTTTCCTTTATATATATGCACTGATTAATTGAAGTTGGTCTTTCTTCACTTTTTTCTTTGTTTAACAGAAGGAAATAAAATAAAACTATGAAATTCAATTGTCAGTGTAAATAAATAACAACATGTGGTAGAAAGTTATTAAGCTGTTTATTTAGTGTATATTTGGTTTTATGTTATTATCCCTTTTAATATGAAACGTTCAGTCTGTTAGTGACAATGATTTCAAATGGGGCACTAAATTAAGAGCAGGCTTTATTTCATTGGACAATGACATCAAAGTATATGTGACCTCAATTATTTGGATTAATCAAGCGCAAACATTTTTTTTATCAAGTCTGCATAAAAATTCCATTGCGTGAAACGGATATTTCACCTGATGTATAAATGTGACGCATCCGCTTGGCGTTTCCACTCACTACCAAATATGATAGTGAGAGGAAGCCCAGTGTCCGGCAGTGGGAGAAGATGGAACTAGATGGATTTTGTCCGACATTCTGTTAATTTCCTCATCGATAAAACATTTGATCTCAATACTGTTTTCTGTTCCCCAAACTATAATCTGTTACGAACAGAGTGGACTAAGTTTTGTAGACTTTACCCTTTTCCAAAGCTTAAAAAATTGCGTTGTTTAGAAGGGGCGCAAAGGCGAATTGCGTTATTGCACACGCGCACTTCGCAGAGTAGGCGTTCCTTAACAGAAATATGCAAATACTTGTTAGAACACACCAATAGGATATCTCTAGCTCGTGCTTGGCCCTGCCCACCTTGCTTGTTCTGCCTACTATGACTCATTTGTTTCGATATGAAACTACAGGATGTGGTTAATCTTGATTTAGTTATAACAATCTTTGGTAAAATGTTGACTGAGGCAGTGTCCCCATGTCAAATATAACGCACGAGCGCTATCCAGTGGCAGACGGCGATACATTGTGATACATTCTGTCCATGATAATTATGTTACTATTGAATTTCGTGTTTGCAAAAATGTTTGCTTTTTATCTGGTGACTGAATAATTCGATCATGACCAGCTGGTTTGTGTCAATTACATTTGTTACAGGCAAACTCCCACAAGGTAACTACCTATGCTTCTGGTGTAATTCATGACCTGGAGGCCTTGAGTTGTTTATAACACTTTCATCAAGCTGAAAAGCTGTCTCTATTTGCAACAGACCCATGACTAGACAGTTGCAAAGACCCAGTTTCACAAGTGAGGGCATGTGTATGCCCAGACTAGAGCTTGCTTCCTGGCATGCTCCAAAAGGCTTTGGCCCAAACCATGGACCCAACAAATCCAAGTGAGTTTTTGTGCAGCAGTACACTGTGGACTGGAGAATGCAGTCTGTGTGGGTTGGTCTCATGTTTTTTTTGTTTTTTTTTGCATTTAGGCCTGGTAGATCCTCTGACACATTCCCCATTTACAGAGGTCACACAGAAGGATGGGCATCCATTGAGCCATCCCATCCAGGTATTATATCATTTTGGTGTGGACAGAATTCAATCAAACCTTCATTGTGGGATTTATGCAATAGCTCTTTTCCCATGGTCAGTGTGGGCTTTCCCCAGTATACCTGGTAATAAAACACTGAAACATGAAGATCTTTACCTTTTTCTTGGCAAGATTACACTGATCGAATAACTACACATTCTGTATGTATATATTACACATAATGTAAAAAATAATTCAGGACTGTTTTGGGGAAATAACCATGCCAGCCAACCCAGGTATGGTGAATTAAATCATGAGACCATCTGATTATGTGGCATTAACAGGGTACTGGAGCTGTTAACTTTTTGTTGTGAAGCGGACAATGTGAAGATTTAAAACACTAATGAATTATGCATAAATTGTTGTACTTTGACTTGTGAAATTTTCTTTATATTTAATTATAATGTTACATGATTGTATTATTGGGAATGATGTGTATAGCAGTAGACAGTGTATATAGCCCAAGATGCACTCTTAAGGAGCCTACCGTTACTCCTTAAGGTCCAAGGACTTTACATATTATTTTCAGAGGTAGACTGGCTCTGGAAGGCAAAACAGCCAAATACTCCATCTAAACATGAATTGATTCTCAATAAATCCCTTTACTTTCATATCACATCAAAATAATTTCACAAATGATAAATATACACTTACTGTACAATGTTTTAACCAGCTTTATCACAGTTGCAGCCGACAGTATTTTTCAGTGACAACACATTTCTGGCGGCCTTCTTCCATTACACGCAGGTGTTCGGAGCATTCTAGATAGCTAATTAGCCCCCCAGTGTAATAATTTATATATATATATACAGTGGGGGAAAAAGTATTTAGTCAGCCACCAATTGTGCATGTTCTCCCACTTAAAAAGATGAGAGAGGCCTGTAATTTTCATCATAGGTACACGTCAACTATGACAGACAAAATGAGAAAAAAAAATCTTTTTTTTTTCAGAAGATCACATTGTAGGATTTTTTATGAATTTATTTGCAAATTATGGTGGAAAATAAGTATTTGGTCACCTACAAACAAGCAAGATTTCTGGCTCTCACAGACCTGTAACTTCTTCTTTAAGAGGCTCCTCTGTCCCCCACTCGTTACCTGTATTAATGGCACCTGTTTGAACTTGTTATCAGTATAAAAGACACCTGTCCACAACCTCAAACAGTCACACTCCAAACTCCACTATGGCCAAGACCAAAGAGCTGTCAAAGGACACCAGAAACAAAATTGTAGACCTGCACCAGGCTGGGAAGACTGAATCTGCAATAGGTAAGCAGCTTGGTTTGAAGAAATCAACTGTGGGAGCAATTATTAGGAAATGGAAGACATACAAGACCACTGATAATCTCCCTCGATCTGGGGCTCCACGCAAGATCTCACCCCGTGGGGTCAAAATGATCACAAGAACGGTGAGCAAAAATCCCTGAACCACACGGGGGGACCTAGTGAATGACCTGCAGAGTGCTGGGACCAAAGTAACAAAGCCTACCATCAGTAACACACTACGCCACCAGGGACTCAAATCCTGCAGTGCCAGACGTGTCCCCCTGCTTAAGACAGTACATGTCCAGGCCCGTCTGAAGTTTGCTAGAGTGCATTTGGATGATCCAGAAGAGGATTGGGAGAATGTCATATGGTCAGATGAAACCAAAATAGAACTTTTTGGTAAAAACTCAACTCGTCGTGTTTGGAGGACAAAGAATGCTGAGTTGCATCCAAAGAACACCATACCTGCTGTGAAGCATGGGGGTGGAAACATCATGCTTTGGGGCTGTTTTTCTGCAAAGGGACCAGGACGACTGATCCGTGTAAAGGAAAGAATGAATGGGGCCATGTATCGTGAGATTTTGAGTGAAAACCTCCTTCCATCAGCAAGGGCATTGAAGATGATACGTGGCTGGGTCTTTCAGCATGACAATGATCCCAAACACACCACCCGGGCAACGAAGGAGTGGCTTCGTAAGAAGCATTTCAAGGTCCTGGAATGGCCTAGCCAGTCTCCAGATCTCAACCCCATAGAAAATCTTTGGAGGGAGTTGAAAGTCTGTGTTGCCCAGCGACAGCCCCAAAACATCACTGCTCTAGAGGAGATCTGCATGGAGGAATGGGCCAAAATACCAGCAACAGTGTGTGAAAACCTTGTGAAGACTTACAGAAAACGTTTGACCTGTGTCATTGCCAACAAAGGGTATATAACAAAGTATTGAGAAACTTTTGTTATTGACCAAATACTTATTTTCCACCATAATTTGCAAATCAATTCATTAAAAATCCTACAATGTGATTTTCTTGAATTATTTTCTCATTTTGTCTGTCATAGTTGTCGTGTACCTATGATGAAAATGACAGGCCTCTCTCATCTTTTTAAGTGGGAGAACTTGCAAAATTGGTGGCTGACTAAATACTTTTTTTCCCCACTGTATATATATATATATACACAATGCTCAAAAAAATAAAGGGAACACTAAAATAACACATCCTAGATCTGAATGAATGAAATAATCTTATTAAATACTTTTTTCTTTACATAGTTGAATGTGCTGACAACAAAATCACACAAAAATTATCAATGGAAATCAAATTTATCAACCCATGGAGGTCTGGATTTGGAGTCACACTCAAAATTAAAGTGGAAAACCACACTACAGGCTGATCCAACTTTGATGTAATGTCCTTAAAACAAGTCAAAATGAGGCTCAGTAGTGTGTGTGGC